AGCAACCAGAGGTGTCCTATTCTGGAAAGAAATGGACGACAAAATCTTCAGCATTGCTGACAAGTCCAAGAGACGCCAAAAACTCCAAGAGATGAGGTCATATATTATTCAGAAGCTGAATAATGACTTTCAAAAAGTTTGGTTCGGGCGTGACGACATGGGAAATTGTATAGACCTGGAGGATATGACCTATGCGGAAGTCCTTCGACGGCTGGTGCAGCTGCTCTACGTGGCCAAAGAGTCGCGCTGGATCGATATGAGCTTCATGAAGTTGACGGCAGACTTCACAAGGCGCATGTACAGCCGGCTACTGCCATCTAGTCCCAGTATCGAAACATATTTCGGTCTACGAGACCCGAAAAAGGCAGTGCCAAATATCATCTCCCAATGCCCGACGGCGGCAACACAGGTCATCAGTTACAGCGATGCGCGGTATCTTGTCTTGCTGTGCAAACTCCCGGGTCAGAAGCCTCCGCCCTTTTTGCTCGACATGGATGACGACTTTGAAGTGTGGTTCAAGAAGGACTCACTGTGGCAGTCGGAGGACTTGGCTGCCGTTGTGGGTGAGGATGCTGGCCGAACATGCATCTTGCAAGGACCAGTAGCAGTCAAGTACTCAACACGCGTCGACGAACCTGTCGGTGAAATCTTGGACTCAATCAACCGCGGACTGATTTCGAGTATCATGAAAGACCGCTATAGTGACAACATGGCGTGCGTTCCCCAGTCACAGGCGAGTTCGACCGTGCCGTGGACTGCTCCATTCACACCTCGCCATTGCTTTGTTCAATATGAAGGCAAGAAGACTCGCTACCATCTTGCAAAGTCAATCGAGAGCGAGCAGTTGCCTGACACTGAAAAATGGCTGCAAATGATTGCCGGATGTTCCGGAACTTGGCTACACACATTCCTCACTTCAAGCGTCGTCTCGCAAGGGTCCAAAATTGTTGCCAATCCAATCCGCAGGGCACTTTCACCAACCAAGGGTATGCTTGTAGAAGTCACAGAAACCGGTTCCCCCGAGGAGGCGGCCATAGCTGTCTTTGACTTGAAGTCAGAAACTTCATTGTCATCCTTTTCGAAGCCCTCTTTAATAATTCGAAAAGAGAAGGATATCCTTGTGACATTTTATACCCATGAGACCGTCGACCGGGCCACTGTCTCCGTGACATTCAAATTCACATATCATCCGGAAATGCCACTGCACCCAATACATGAGATTATGGAAGGTCGAAACGAGAGGCTTCGCTCTCTCTACTACCAGCTATGGTTTGGCGCGGATGTGGTTGATCGCTTTCCATCCCCGCGTGGCAAGAAGCGGCCATCAATTTCACACGTTCAACCATGCGACTCCATCCCAGAGAATAGCGAGCCCGAAATGCCACAATCTATTCAAGCAGGCTTTCCATCCCAGCCTGATCGCATAGAAAGGAACACATTTTCGGAGCTGAGTGATGAGTCGGTCGGTGTGGCCTCCCTGGAAAACTTTATTTTCAACAATCGTGGCTTGACTATTTCTTCTTCTGGGATACAAGCTTTTCTTAACAATATTGGACATGAGAGACATATGACTTCACCGTGTGGATCGGATGAGAAAACGGCACCTCTCGATTTTGCCATTGTGGTAGCTTGGCAGGCCATGATCAAAGCCATCTTTCCCACCGCCATTAATGGAGATTTTATGAAGTTGGTTCATCTTTCGAACGAGTTCAAGATGCTCGGTGATGGCGCCCCGTTGAGAAGCCATGACCGTGTCAGCACCCATGCGGAGATTCTGGCAATCCGCAATGAACCAGCCGGTCGTGTGGTCGAGGTTGGCGCAATCATCGAAAGGGGCTCCATACCAGTCTTGGAGGTGATATCGCAATTTCTTTTCCGAGGCAGCTACACTGATCACGGTGTCTGCTTTGAGAAGAAGGTCCAGCCTAAGACGTATATCCTTTTAGACACTCCGGCCAAGGTCACCGTGTTGAAGAGTAAGCAGTGGTTTCAATTAGTCGATTCAGAAATGGATTTATTAGGCGAAACCGTCATCTTCGAGTTGAAAAGCCTAACCCGCCCCGGCCAAGACTCCAATTACCTCAATGTCCAAACAGTCGGGCAAGTCTACCGTCAGCATGCGGTTACCAAGACGCGCCACATTATCGCCAATGTACACTACCAATGCGAGAAGACGATCGGCAACCCAGTCATCGACTATCTTCAGCGCCATGGGTCTTCTGTTGATGTCGTAAAACAGAAAGATGACCCTCAGTCGCTTGGAGATCACGAGGCACTACGCTTCACCTCCCCAGCAACTAATCACGGTTATGCCTCTGCGTCTGGAGACTTTAACCCTATCCATGTCTCGGAGCCCTTTTCCAAGTATGCAAACTTACCCGGCACAATCACACACGGCATGTTTACAAGCGCGGCTGTGCGACAACTAGTTGACAAGGCAGCTGGAATTAATAAGAATGTTCGCATGCGGTCGTACAAGTGCAATTTTGTTGATATGGTTCTTCCAGATACTCAACTGGAAGTAAAAGTCAACCATACGGCCACTAAGCACGGCCTGCGAGTACTCTCGTTTCACGCGACTAATATAACAACCGGGAATAAGGTCCTCATAGGTGAAGCTGAGGTTGATCAGCAGCCTTCAGCATACATATTCACTGGACAAGGCAGCCAGACACCAGGAATGGGCATGGATCTATACACCACATCGGAGGTCGCCAAAGAAGTCTGGGACTCCGCGGACAAGTTCTTCTTCGAAACCTATGGTAAATCGCGACCTACTTCCCCTAACATCTGGCTGACTTGTATGCTAATCAAGCCTTAGGTTTTATGATTAGCGATATCGTGAAACGTAACCCAAAGCAGTTGACGATTCACTTTGGCGGCCGGCGCGGGCGGAAGATTCGACAGAACTACATGGACATGACGACCGATTGCAACGGCCAGCCGCGGCCAGTATTCAAATCCATCACTGCAACCACTACGAAATACACCTTTAAACACAGCGCTGGGCTGCTTTACAGCACCGAATTCGCTCAGCCGGCTCTCACCATCTTGGGAAATGCGCAGTTTCTCCATCTCAAATCCCATGGCCTCGTCGACCCCAACGCCCTCTTTGCCGGCCATTCTCTTGGAGAGTACACGGCGCTTAGCGCGATTGGTGCCATTATGCCTTTTGAGCAGATTCTCTCCGTCGTCTTCTATCGCGGCCTGGTGATGCAGTCCAGCGTCACCCGCGACGCCAACGGATGCTCCCACTTCTCGTTAATGGCCATTAACCCGTCGCGCATCAGAAAAAGTTTGACCACGGAGTCTCTACAGACCCTGGTTTCTGCCATCGCTGCTGCTACCGGCAATCTGCTAGAATTGGTCAACTTTAATGTAGCAGGGCAGCAGTATGTGGCTGCCGGGACACTCCCAGCGCTCGATTGCCTGACATATGTGGCGAATTACATGGCTACACATCCAACCGAGTTGGAGCCCTCTCAATTGGCCAAGGGCACCAAGCTCCCAGCCGTGATAGAGATGTGGGCGGAAGAGGCTTCCAAGAAGCCAGAGCCTACGCAGTTGAAGCGCGGTCTCGCCACTATCCCTCTGGACGGCATTGACGTGCCTTTCCACAGCTCGTTTCTGAGATCAGAGATTGATGCGTTTCGGAGTGTGCTGCATAGTTATATCAAGCCAGATGCTATCGATGCCCGACGACTTGTGGGCAAGTATATAAGTAATGTGACTGGGAAACCATTTGACATTTCCTACCGTGCAGTACGGGAGGTGTACGAGCAGACAGGTAGTGAGATATTGAGGAGTTTATTAACTAGATTATGAACACTGCAATATGAAGGATAAGAGATATTTGCAAAAATAGAAAAATGAGAAGGGGTTTATCTAGATCGGTTTAACATACTTTAATCTCGATGGATCGTATATATCTATCGTTTACAAGTCCCTGAAGCCTTGGGGTTTTTTTTTTCTATAGAACTAGCACCTTTCCCTTTCTCTTTCGCCGAATACTATGCAGTACGCAAAGAAAAGATTACTTACTTGAGTTGCGGCGGTGAGGCATTCGCTGAACTTCCTTCCTGGAATAGCTACATAGCTACCTACGTAGTAATGCTATGGCTACAGAACATCAGACTTGACGTGCCATTGCGCTATCTCTGAGGCGTCGGCTCTCACAGCGACGACGCCGATATCATCGCCAACCCTATTCGCACTACTATTCCCACGTTTATTCTCGCTGTTCACATCCTCCGCATCTTCCTCGAGAGCCTGTCGCTAGAATCCCAGCCCCCATGTCCCAGAACAAGGTTCTCTCAGAGTTTCCAACAGCCCCGGATACGTATTTCACTGTATATTCCGTAATGGGCATTCCGGAGGGAGGGATGGGGGAGATAATTATGTGCCTGGCACGTCAAAGTGGTTTAGATCTGATCGGTGCTGATGCGGCAGCTGTCATTTACGAGGTCAATATGGTCCTCAAAGCTTGCAAGACATACCAGCGCCCTGCCAAAGGTGCTTCGCGTCGGAATTGATGGGACGACTCCGACTCGACGCTCTTCAGTCATCGTCTTAGTCGGCAAGAAAAAGCATTCTTCGAGTACTGGAGAAGCTACCCCACCCGAACGTTGGCGAGGTCATCGATATAGACAAGGATGAGGGTATATATTTCCGAAGACACCTCCCCTGTCGCAGATTGAACTCCCTGCTCAACAGGGTCGCATTGTGTGGTATCAGGATCTTCCCGTCGCCTTCATCATCCTCACATCGTCATCCCTGCGCCCTGTCTAGTATAGCAAGCTGTCAGTCGCGCATGTAACGGGTCAAGCTGCTTGAACGGCGGCTGTGCCGCCCATCACCAACTCTTTCAGCGGGTTGATTCTAGAACCTTCTTTGCAGGCGAATTGTCTAGGTATAATGTGCTATTACTACATGTATGTATAATTCTTTCTTCGTCATCGTGATAATAAACAGTATCGGGACTAGTTTGTTGAGTCAACGCGCTACAGGCCTTTCCCTGTAGGCAATTTCGTCGCGTTCTCTCGCTGCCACTCCATGATGTCAACATGGGCTTGACGCGGTTTTGCTACATCGTCAGAGGAAGACATGCTTAGCCCATTAGACTTCCAGCTGCCGGACTCTGTCTCCTTATCTTTTCGCAATATATACTTGTCCACTAAGGGCTTGACCCCCGGGACTGACACGGCAATGATTGTGGCGCTGACCTCGGCTACCTCAAGACACAGCAGCTTGAGGAACGAAAATTGAAACTCGATCTTTTGATCCGATTCCCCTTGACATGTTTGTCAGTAAAAATATCTAGCCCCAACTAGGACAAGCTGTTACTCACAACCGTAGTTAATAACTAGCACAACCCGCGCGGCAGAGAGACCGATAACGCTGGAATCATGTCGTCAGAAGACTGTCCACTGTGCCCAAGATTCATGAATGATGAACAGCATCAGTAACTCACAGTATACCCGGCAATAAAATACAAGCTAGTTGAAGCTTTTGTTTCCGCGCCAGCTGTAAGCCCTTGAGCATTACGGCTGGAATCCCAAATAATAAAAAGTCAGAGGCGAGCGAAATGCTAGATATGATGGAGTACACCTGAAACCAATGCATGCATGTGTGCCTTTCGTACTCTTCCTTGGTATAAAATACCCATACCATACTGACAGGCAGACAGTGGAAGATGAGAAGACAAATTTGCGCCACGTATCCTGCTAGAATAATGGCGGCAATACCCTTAATAGCCAGGAGGAACTTTTTATCCATGTAGCAAAGCCGCCAATAAAATGCGATACCGGATATTCGACAAAGCACCAACGCCGTGCTGTATATCAAGTGCGCGATGGTATCAAGGGCCTGAATTTGCGTGTAGGTTTCGTCGTCCATCATAAAGTACATCCACATGGGGTTTTGCCCAGCGCCCATTATAATGAGTCGTATACATAATGCCGTAAAGGGAATAAATACCACCTAAATTAAAAGATGAAAAGTATTCGGTGTTAATATCTTGACCTAGAGCAGATTTAAACCTGGGGGCCCAGCTTACCAGCGACGCGAGTACAACTCCGTCATCAAAGCCGAATCCATAGCCCTTGATAATAAACTTGCGCGAATAGAGTCGACACGCGACTACCAACGTGGCCAGAAAAGTGACGGAGGCGATGCTCGCGATGCCCGGTATGTTTTGATTGTTTCTCAGAAGTTTCATATCGACGTCCGGAGGAATCCGGCCATCCCGGATGGCTTCATCAATACCGTCGCTCATTTCGTTGGACCGTGTCGAACGCGTCGAGTTACTAGACGTCGTCCAGAACGAGAGTAATAGGTTCGGGAATATTATAATATTATGATCAGGGTTGGGAAAATAAACTGTGGAGTGTTCATGGGCATGGGCTGCTTACAATCAATTTATTACAATCTTCGATCTGTATTCATGCGATCTAGCCGGCCAACCATCATGACTCGCATTTCAGCGGCATTTACAAAGCCATGTCGGAGGAGAAAGTTTCTTTGCAGATTCCTGCTGGCTTTTTGACAGTTCAAGTTTCGCCGTGTGCCTAGAACCTGGCCACTTCGAGGGGTTGAGCGGCAGACCTGCTGATCTGATTGCTTGTAGTCGTTTCAGGTCTGCCGCACTAACAAACGCCATCAATGCGTTGCGCGGAAGGATGTTCGGAATTGACGGCAGTCCCCACAGGTATTGGTGTTAGCATGTGCTGTTGAAGTGCTAATGTCTCGCAATTGTTTGAAATGAAATTGGACTGCAAACTTTACTCACAAGTTACGTACGGTCTGGTGGAATATTAGTACTCCAACTGCAGACTTTGCAGAGGGCCAAAGTACAAGTGGCACACATGCCGCAAACCGCAAGACTATCAGGAAGGAATTCACGCGCCGAGACTTTGAGGCTTGTTTTTGGGGCATTTAACCCTACATCGATTAAATCTTGGCGACTGTTAATGAGGGTTCATCGGCTGTGTTGGTGATGCCGTGTGCGATTTCTGGCCATCACGCGTCATAACGAGTTCTGCCGAGCTAGCCTGTCGGGTTCAGATGTGTTATATTAAGCTCGTGAAAAGAACCAGATTATGATTGTGATGATCGTGTCTTGGCGATTGCCCACGTTGCGCTACCGTAGCGAGTCTTGTTGAACCTGCAATCTTTCATGACGCACGCCATCATTTGTCGCCTCACTGCTGCGTATAAATGTGTCACTGTTGACAGCCTGATGGAGCATCCGTATTGCTAAGGCGACTGCGCCGCGTAACAGAAAGAGTCAGCTATGGCATAATCCTTTACGACTCCGGTTAGCGGGCTTGATAGTATTGTTCCGTGCTGGATACCAATGTTTAGCATCAATTCTTCATACAAGATGTATAGGATTATACTACCAAAATTAACATGGTATTGTATTTATTTTACCGTTGATGTATTGAAATGAAGGGTGTGGCAAGATTAGGCAGACAAGCCAAGCTTGAAACATGATTCCACATGACGGATACAGGGCCCGCACCATGGAAGTCAGAATACCACAATCGAATGTTATGTCAAGCAGCGCCGAGGCAATATCAAGGAAACAGACTTAGGGCTACGACATGTGTCGTAGGCGACACTCGAGTCTGCAGACCCGTCTGATGTGTGTAAATTGCAAATGCAAGATTAAAAAGATGGATTACATGAACTCGAATATGCTTTTGTGTATGTGAAGGAGGAATTGGGGTAAATTGTAAAAGAGCATCATAGTTTACATCTTATTTTTGTCTTGGAGGGGTAAGGGGAAGGGGAAGGGGGGATATATTAAGATATAGGCTGGAAGTAAATGTCATATATCATTAAACTCGAAGACGACGGGCACTTTACATCCGTGGTGAGTCTCGTTTATGTGATTCGCTTTGACGTTAATTAGGCAGCACATGCTACACTGATTCATTCATTCGGAGATGGATGTCTTATCATTTATGCTAGTTACACGAGACTTTCAAGCAGAAGCCGGCGTTCTCAGCGTGCAAAGAAGGTTCATTGAGAAGTCGTATTCATGTGTACTTGGCTACGCCAGTATCAGACGTCCAGGCAGCCTTGCTTCATCCAAGGTTTCAGCATACCTTGAGCATTACCTCTTCACGCGTCTGCTCATATATCGTGATTTATACCTACGGTCAACGCCATCTTCCGTTGATCAGTTTGGGAGATGTTATCTGTGCAGGCAAGGCCTATGCAGTGAAGTTTTGGACTGTTCGGAGTTGAGAGCATTGGGACAATCTGCTGTCCGGTAGGAAGCCAAGGCTCTGGCACAAGCAACGCCCTCCTAACCAACAATTTCGTCTTGTGTTATTACCTTTGTTATTACCAGACCTTTGTGGATATTCATGCCCACCTATTGCACGGTCTTTGTATTCTATTGTTCTAGCGGCCGGGGAGGCTCCGTGATTACCGGACGGATTGGCTGTTACACTCACAATGTTGGTCATATGGACGCCTGGCTAGACACATAATTTTCTGCGTTCACGCTATCGTCCTAGCGTTCCCGTGACGCCCTCAAGAAGTCTTTAGGTCGTCATAAGCATCCCGATGGCAGGTTGGTTCCCTGTCTGCTACGTCAAGCTTTCATTGGATATGCATGCTGTAATGAACCAGAAGCAGGTAGATTAGGGCCTTGCCGTGCCTGAGTTGCCCGAGGGTTTGTACGTCACAATATTACACTACACACGTGGTTCGAATCCGTGTCACTTGGCTGCTTCTTATTTAATAATAGTAGTTTGGCAAATCGTTGGGATGTCATAGCCTGTGCTGCTTTCAAAAACGGGCGCTACCCTAGAAGATAATCGCATGGGCAACCTATAGGAGCTTGAGTTGACAAACCTCAAACACGGACCAATTACGCCAGGCTCAGCTGATGTGCATAAAGACTGGTAGTGGCACGGAGTCTCGTCACCCGGTCTACATACCAGCATGTAACTACGTAGACCAGTCACTTTATTCCCCCAGCGCCATTTCTCATGTCCACCAGACGTAAACAACATTGCGCTTCTGTCAGAACATTGAAGGCATACTCTTTTTAAAACAACCCCCTGATTCCTAAAACTAGTAAACTCGCTAGTGCAACCGCCACCTCTGTTTTTTACCCTTCAGAGGCCGCTAAGCCTGCTTCCGCCGTCGCATTATGTCCGGCTCCGGGAACTCGCCCTCGGTCAGCTCCCCATCGAAGGAGAGCGTGGCCGATAAGGCTTGCAAGCTGGCCAATAGAGTGATACTCGCGCAGATTCAGACCAAGCTCAAGAGGAATCCTGCGACAAACCTATCTCCATTCCTTCGGCAGCAGTCGGAGTCCTACGACGAATTTGTCGCAAATCTAGCCGCCGGGCAAAACGCCGAGAGTGACAGTGAAGATGAGGATTGCCCAGATCTCTCCAATGAGCTGTGTGGACTCGTACTTGGTGGCTCACCTGAAATTATACATGCCCTCCACGACAGGGTCTTGGAATTGTCTTCGGGAGGTGCGACGACGTGCAATCTCGATAACTCAAAAAACCTGCCCATGAATATTGTGGCGGGGCTCAATGAGGCCATCCAAGGAGGACAAGTTTTGTGGCGATTGCACGACACGTTTGTCATCGGCCTTGGGTCTTCTGAAGTCGTCAAAATCAGCACCTCACTCGACCTTGACGAAATTAGTAACTTGGAGTACCTCAACAGTCTCTCTCTTGGGATTCCAATACCGTTGTGTCTCGGCGCCTTACGATCAGGCCGAAGGGTTTACTTGTTCATGTCTCGTGCGTCCGGTCAGCCGCTTGAGATGGTGTGGCCGCAACTAACGCCCCTCCACAAAACATCCATCCAACAGCAGTTGATACAGATGTTTACCACTCTACGATCTATTCCCCCAAGCACAGCCAGGGAAGAAATGAAAATTGGCAGTTTCGCGTCAGGCATCTGTAAGGACACCAGAAGGTGTCAGCGAGTGAGCGTTAGACCTATTTATAATGAGATTGACTTTAATGACTTTCTCTGTCACGAAGAAAAAAGGACACAGACCGCTTGGATTAAGATGATTCGATCCGCAATGAGGGCGGATCATGACCTGGTTGCTACTCATGCAGACCTTCATCCCCGGAATATCATGGTTGAATGGGACACCGAGGAAGGCGGTACCTTGCATATTACCGCAATCATTGACTGGGAGCCAGCTGGATGGTATCCTGAACATTGGGAGTTCGTGAAAGCTCTGCACACGGTCGATATCAAGGGTGCCTTGGCGGATTGGTACCAATACCTCCCCACAGCGGCGATTGGGTCTTGGCCTACCGAGTTTTCGCTTGATTTGCTTATTGGACGCTGGCTTGGGTAAACTCACTTCCTCAACTGTCCAGTATAAGTGAGATTTTCTTGCTAGACTCTATAATACGCACCATATCCTTATTTTTCCCTAGGCCTTTCTTGCGACCTCCCAGGAACGAATTGCTGGCTTCCCCACTACGTCTCGCGATTTCACTCTCCAATGACGCCTGCGGGTATTTCACGGGGTCGTTGATACCGCCGATCTGGACATCTTGTCTGGCAGTAATGCCGGTCAACGAGTGTGCCTCTCAAACCAGGCCGGGGTGGACGCACTTCAAAGTTTTTGCGATAAAGGGAAAACCTGATGCAGACCGGATAACTTTTGATTCAGCTGTGGTTTTCTCTGCGTAAGTGTAGTGCCATAATAATTCCCGTGCATGTAAGCGAATTTCCCTTCTTTCTTGGGAGTGGCGCAATCGGATTCGTAAGTGACTCAATTAAATGGGCCAGCGGAAACCTTCTTCTTCTGTCAGCTTACAACTGATTCAGGCAAGACCTTCCTCCCGCTCTCGCGGGTGAATCGGATAAGATATGTGGGCTTCGGTCGACTCGGACAGTTCGGAACCTCGGAGGTCAACTGGATACTTATTTAGCTCGTCCGAGATTTGTTAGTATGTAGGTCCGATCCCGAGAGTAAGCTGTGGAGAATAGTTGCCATTTAATTTACCGGGTACAAATTGACGATAACCTTAGAATAGCTTACTGTGCTTTACTAAAGTTCTCACTTCTATGACGTCGAGATATTCTAGAGTGGGCACGGCATGTCGACTCAAGCTCATTAAGAAGAAGTGTAACCACTAGACCCTGAATCTATTGTATTCAAGATTCGGGAAGTTTCACAATTTGTTACCGAGGCTCCCGAAGCTCCGAGCCTTTAGGCACAAATTGCTCCAATGCCACCTTGCGCAAGAATGTATATTAAGCAATGCGAGACTGCTGAACCATGGAAATTTAATAACAATACTTTGGACTCATCAAATACTAACCGTTGAACTTTGACGTTTATATCTCCTCTTATATTACTTACCTTGACGCTGCTCGCCCTCCAACAAGTTACAATGGAAACCACTTGTCTTTGCAAAGCAGTAACAGTTAAAGTCTCGCAGAATTGGCTTGATGGGAAGCAACATGGTCAAATCTGCCATTGTTACAACTGCCGCAAAGTAAGTGGTACAGGTATGCGTCTTCTACTGATACTTTGAAAGCAATGTCTGTCAATCTAATATATTTTCCTAGCCATGGGAGCTACCAATCTTATTGTTGACCGCTCCACGGTTACAATTTCTGGTGAACTGTACCTCTTTGAAGATTACGACACCTCGACTGGCAAGCCAGTTCACCGCTATTTCTGTAAAGTCTGCTGCAAGTAAGGATTTTTGACTTTTCCCGAACTAGAAGGCAAATTCAGAATTCGAGCTAATCGATTGCCACTATAGCCCTATTAAAAGTGAAAGCCATCTGGTGCCTGACTCCATTATCCTCAAGATGGGCATCTTTGAGCATGTTCCAAAGCCGAAGAGTGAGGGTTTTGCACAGGAGAGACAGGCTTGGGGCCAGCCGGTTGCACCGGATGTTGAACAGTTGCAAGGAACAAGCTATGACTAAATAGCCTTCTTCCGGAAAGTAGAGCTATTTTAGCAAAACATATTCAATGTTCTAAATATTAGTCAGCTACATAAATAGAAATATATTACTATGTTTTTTAGAAGATAATTGCTAGACGGGCCTAGCTTGTCAGGCCTTACTTGTGGGATAAAACTGCCTTTATTAATTGAATACTCAAGCGCTTTACGATCAGTCTAAGCGTTACAGGGGCTTTATAGGGCTTAGAGCTTAATAACTTAACTTAGTAATACTGTTATAAACTTATAGTATATTAAAGGTTATAAGTTTCCCAAATGTAGAGACGAGTAACCGTTATACATATATAAGTGAAACAGCTATGCCCAAGGTTTCCACCGGCCTATATATTCAATTCGTGGAATTTCGACGTCCTGTATTGTTAATGCCCCTTTTGTTAGGCTTTATTCTTGGGCGCTGTTGTGGGGTCCTAACCATGTAATCTCTAACAGCTATAGCTTTGCAGGGCAAACATCTTGGAATTATAATATGCGAATAATAGCTGCGTTGTTTTTAGTGCAGTAAGTAGTAGTTATAGTTGATATACTATCACAAAAAATTACAAAATTATAAAAACTACACGTGGAACTACTCTGCTTGTAATACCCAGCATATCTGACTTGTAATGCCTAATATATCTGACTCGTAATGCCTAATATGTCTGACTCGTAATACCCAGCGTATCTGACTCGTAATACCTAGCTTATAAATTATAGTGTATTTAAGGCCGGAGTATCCTCCCTATTCAACTTTTTTTATATTCTTTACTTTTTCCTCTTCTTGCCCTTATTAAATTCAGCTACCCTGTCTAACTACTATTTAAAATACACAGAAAACATGAAGTGTACTCTCTTTTTCGCTGGTTTTATTAGCCTGGCCGTTGCAGGGCCTGTTACCAACTGCCAAAATACATCAACAAACTCGACATTAGTGGATGGGTTTCAGAAGTGGGAAGAAGACGTACGAGCTTGTCGCAAAAAGAAAGCAGGCGCCGACCGCGAGCATTGTTGGATGGCAGCTGCACAACCCTGCTATAATAAAGTCGATGATGTGTTTATAGAATGTCGAAAGTCAGGCACGCCTGTAAATCAATGTATAGAAGAGGGCGATAGAGGGAACAGTAAATGCGGAGCACTGTATGATATTTTAATTGGAGAGAACGGTCTTAAGCCAGAAGGGGAGTGAGTCATGTAGACAAGGATAAATAACCTTCCTGGGCTCTTAATCAGGCGACTAATACATGGGCAGCCTAGAAATACTGGGGCACCCTACAATACATGAGTCATACAAGCTTTGAAAGCAGTTGCAAGATATACTCTGGCAGCATATTAGCCCTAAAACCGATTACGAGTAATCTGTGGCTCCTAGTTTGTCTGCTTTAAATTGGGGGACCTGGATATCAATTGACCCAGCAGGTGGTAATACCCCTTCATATCAAGGTAGTTGTACTACAAGCATCTAAAGAAGATAGAAAATCGTCTAATATTATATTGTGCTTGTTTTCTAGCTATGCAATTTTAACAAATACTAGGTCTCTTACCTAAAGAACTACAGTACCAACCATGGAATAAATTCTCAGCCTTTCCCTCTCGTCTATCTAGCTAACAACTCTCGGTCACTCTTAAACCAGACTTCAACGCTTTGCCGTGTTCCAACCCTCCCATCTCGCAAAGTCCCCCGTGTCCAAATCGAATAGGTCTAGCATGCGGCCTACGCTCTGGTCGACCAAGTCATCCACCGACGAGGCCCGGATATAGTATGCCGGGACGGGAGGGAAAATAATAGCGCCCGCATTAGACACTTCTAACATGTTGCGCAGATGAATACTGCTCAGTGGGGTTTCTCGAGCGACCAAGACGAGCCTTCGTCGCTCTTTAAGCATCACATCGGCGGTGCGAGAGATGAGATCGTCGCAGAAGCCGGTATTTATTGCAGCCAGTGTTTTCATGCTACAAGGAACGATTATCATTCCGTCTGCTTTAAAGGATCCGCTTGAAATTGGAGCTGCCATATCGTGAATCGAGTGGGTATGGTCGGCCAGGGCCTTGACATTCGAGGGATGGTAGTCGGTTTCGTACTTGATAGTTGCCTCGGCCCACTGGCTCATAACCAGATGCGTTTCCACGTTCAACTTGCGCAAAGCGATGAGAGTCTTGATGCCCAGGGTTGCCCCCGTCGCCCCGGTTATTGCGACGACGATCCGCTTGCACCTCTGAGATGATGGCTGTTGCTCGGGCGGATTTTGTGTGACTTTTGTTGACGGCATTGCTGCCATCACGGTTGGGGCTTCCGCCGGTAGATGGGCGACCAGAGTTGAGAGCTTGTGGGTGCTGGCACTGGGAGAATAGAGTACAGGCCTTTGGCGGTGATACTAGATCGGTACTAGCCTTGGAGCTTTTGCTTCGTCTGAATGTGTCTTGATGTAATTGGCTGGTTGACTTTCGATTGTTTTATGATGAGAGAGATGATTCTTGAGAATCTTTGCAACTCGGCCCAACCTTATATCTGCTTACGCGGCACAAGTAAAACCGTCGGACTACCTGAAAAATTACCAACCGAAACTGTACAGCCGCCAGCCAGACACCGTGCGCATCGATACTACCAGACTTGACTAGATTGTTCATATGCAATGACAAAAAGGGAAGAGATGGCCTCTGTGGGAACATCCGAGGCCCCGAACCCGAGGCTCCGAGCCCAGGGCCCCCGAACCTTGGGCGAAAGGCCTCGGGCGATCTGCCGTACTAGACTGACGACAGTCATACCCACCGCGCCAGGTATGCTGCCTATCGACATCTCGGGCCCTTCGGTATGCTCGATGACCTCCTCTACGGCGGCTGGAGACGGTGTAGAGTAGAGAAAGACCCGACTTGATGACCTCGGTCTCCAAATAGGTGGCAAGCATTCAATCCGGATTCCCCCAGGTCGACTGCACCCCATGGATATTTAAGCCACGCACTCGGGCCATTCTTCTTCGAGTTGCGGACGCACAACCTACACACAGCCTGTTGTATAACTTACACATCGATTCCATAAAAGCACCACAATACCACTTAAAGGTGCATACTCACCGTGAAACGTCTTCATGGCCGCCGACCCGCCTCATCTCTGCTTTCGGGCCTTTGTCGATGCCCTCAAGGCCGACAATGATCTTGTCGAGATTAACACCCCCGTCGACCCCCATCTCGAGGCCGCCGCCATCACTCGTCGTGTCTGCGAAACTAATGACAAGGCACCGTTATTCAACAATGTCATTGGCTCGCATAACGGTCTGTTCCGTATCCTCGGTGCTCCTGGCTCGCTGAGAAAGTCTCCCAAGGAGCGTTACGGCAGACTGGCACGCCACCTGGGCCTTGCTCCAACGGCTTCGATGCGGGACATCCTCGATAAGATGCTGTCCGCGAGCGATATACCCCCGATCCCCCCGCAGATTATACCGACCGGGCCCTGCAAGGAAAATTTCCTGGATGAGAGCCAGATCGACCTGACCAAGCTTCCTGCACCTCTGATCCACCAGGCCGATGGCGGCAAGTACATCCAGACCTACGGCATGCACATCGTGCAGTCTCCGGACGGGTCGTGGACCAACTGGTCCATTGCCCGTGCCATGGTCTCGGACGAAAAGCATCTTACCGGACTCGTCTTGGAGCCGCAGCATATCTGGCAAATTCACCAGATGTGGAAGAAGGAAGGCCGTGATGTGCCATGGGCTCTTGCCTTTGGTGTTCCTCCAGCAGCCATCATGGCCTCGAGCATGCCAATTCCAGACGGCGTCACCGAGGCCGACTACGTGGGCGCCATGACCGGCTCGGCTTTGCAGCTTGTCAAGTGTGATACCAACAACCTGCTTGTTCCGGCAACTTCCGAGATTGTCTTTGAAGGCACCTTGTCCATTACCGAACAGGGTGTCGAGGGGCCATTTGGTGAGATGCACGGCTATGTCTTCCCTCACGATACCCACGTTGGGCCCAAGTACCATGTCAAGCGCATTACGTATCGCAACAATCCCATTCTGCCCATGTCAAGCTGCGGACGACTGACTGATGAGACTGTGAGTTGATATTGTTGTCCTGGTCAATACAAAAGCCGGCCGTTAACACAGAACACCAGCATACCCTCATCGGCTCTCTCGCCGCCGCCGAGATCCGCAAAATCTGCCAGCAAAAGGGCCTTCCCGTCACCGACGCGTTCGCACCGTTCGAGTCACAGGTGACCTGGGTCGCCCTGCGCATCGACACGGCTCGACTGCGTGAGATGAAAACCACGCCAGCCGAGTTTAGAAAGAAGGTCGGTGACGTCGTCTTCAGCCACAAGGCTGGCGTCACCATCCACCGCCTCGTTCTGGTGGGCGATGACATTGACGTATATCAAGGCAAGGACGTCATGTGGGCCTTTTCCACCCGCTGCCGCCCAAACATGGACGAGACTTTCTTCGAGGACGTCGCCGGATTCGCACTTATCCCGTACATGTCTCATGGCAATGGTCCGCCGGCTCGGGGAGGCAAGGCCGTCTCCGATGCCCTACTTCCGTGCGAGTATACCACGGGTCGGGATTGGCAAGCGGCTGACTTTGAGAACTCGTATCCGGAGCCGCTCAAGCAGAAGATCTTGGCCAGCTGGACCGAGTTGGGATTCCAGGACGACTAAGTGCGCAGTAGAAGAATGCAATACTTTCGGTTTAGTAATATACAAAGCCGAAGGACCAAGTCGCTCATTGAACAAAATAGCTAGTATTATACCGCTATCCGGCAGGTAGTAATATTCTAGTAAGATGATTGATATTTAAAACAAATATTATGTAGTTATAACATCAGCTCACGTGACCGCCGGCAAACACCCGGCAAAGGGGGGCCGCTAATCCCGTGTGGCAAGCCTTTTGAAGTCTGGTAGTAGGACTCGACCGTTGGCCAGTACAAGTCCCATCTCAAATTTATCATCTCAGATGTCGACGGTGCATTTTGATGAAAACGGCCTGTTTGAGACCAGACGACGCCACATAACGGCCACTAAGAGCAGCCAGCGGCATTCTCGGCGACATGAGTGCCGTTACTGCGAACAATGAAGAGGCGGACCGGGTGCTCCGCCAAAAGCGCCGGGCGCGAGGGCCCTCTGCTTGTTATCCGTGCAAGAAACGCAAAGTCAAGTGTGACGGGAGCGTGCCCTGCCAGACTTGTCGAAAGCGACAGCACCCGCAGATCTGCACGTATCATCTCTCCATGCACCCGCAGCGTGCGTCGGTGGCGGCACCGGTTCAAGATGAGACTGCTCGCTCGGCCTTGCCTGTCTGTCCGGGAGAAGCGGGGAAGGTGAGTTGTGAGCCGTCATCTCTACCTGATGAGGCGTCCAAAAACTACGTGTACTCTGGAGACAATTCCTTCGTCTCTATTTTGGGGTCGAGGGCATCCGGGGCCAACGACTCGGTGGCTGGTGAGCTTACTTCGGTCCTGGGTCTCCAGAACACTTTCAACATATATCCGTTTATGGATTCCAAAACGCCCCATGATAGATGGAAGTTGTTGCTGGCTGTGCTACCACAGAGAGCAGAAGTCTTGAAGTATACTCCAATCTGCTAGCAGCAACGGACATTGTCACTAACGAAACCAGATTCTTTCACTGCTATCGGGCTACAGCATATCCATTCAACCCAATCATAGTAGATATTGACCAATTTGAGTCAGACTTATGCACATATCTAAGTGCTCACGCTGCTGGCGAATTACATGACCCAGGCAAGATCTCTGACTGCTGGGCCACCAACAAGTCCATTGGCTATATAAGTCTTTTGCTGGCCACTTTAGCGGCAGGATCACATTATTCGGATGTCGAATATCCCCACCGCCAGGAGCTCTCTATAGACTTTGGTAGGAAAAAAAAATAATCGACCCACATGATGTTCTGCTAATAGTGTTGCAGCCAGTCGGTCATTTCAAGCCCTTCGCTTAGCCAACTTCCTCTTCCGACCATCGCTAGACACCATTCAAGCCCTTCTCATCTTGGGGAATACCTTGCAAAATATGGGTCAATCCGATTCCGCCTGGGCAATGCTCGGCACAACGGTTCGGCTGGCCCAAGCGATGGGGCTGCACGCCCAACGAAACACAGTTCGCTGGCCCGAGTGCATTAGGACAAGGGCAAGGGCGCTCTGGTAGGTTGCTCCATGAAGAGAGAGGCTAATATCTCCCTTGTCCAACTTATCCACCATGTAGCATTGGTTGATAGCTGATAGAAGACACGCAGGTCGACAATTGTGTGGCAGGATAGTCTCCTCTCTCTTTGCTATGACCGCCCGCCGATCGTGTCAGTAACTGAATGGCCGCTGGACGATTCCTTCTTTCAACGACAAAATCTGTCGTACACGGAAATTATGCATTTTATCTGTCGACTAAATCTCGACATAATGCGGCCTGAAACTCTTGCCGTTGCAGAGGTCAACCGAGCCATCGAAGGCTTGCAACAGTTTGATGGTGTTTACCAACGGGGCCAGCCTTATCTTCGGGCCTGGGAAAACTGCACGACGATCCAGCAGCATCTCGAGCACCTCGCATTAAGAATGCATTCGTCCTTCTTCATTTCCGTCCTGTGCCGCCCAGCTATAAAGACATCGCTGGCACAACCACCGCTTCCTCACACCGACATTCTTCGTACTCGTGCCAAGGCGAGCTTGATAGATGCGTCGAAAGCATTCCTGGACTTCCAGGCCCTCAGCGTTATTCCACTACGAAGCTGGTCAATGGTTCACACTGTTCTGAGCTCGACCTTGCTACTTTGCGCCTGGGAAGAGACCCGTAACGATCCCGAATGCCGTGGCCTGCAACAAAGAGTAATCGACGTCTTCTCGTTATCAGACTCTACCGCCGGCGATGGTGCTTTATTGTCAGACAATAACCGGGAATGGCTGTCTGCTCGCCACATTCGGGCTTTGGTTAAGCTGCGAAATGCATTGGACCGAGAAGAAGGTATTAGCACCACGGGTAATGAGAACTGGGCTGGACTCGGAGCTAATGATATATCTCCCCTTGGGACTGTGTGCGTCTTCTTTGTCGTTTGTTTATTCGTGTCTCAAGTTGTGCTAATATTCTACGTAGACCTGATGGATATTTGGATATGCTGGATCCTGCGGCCATATCGCCCGTCACCTATCTCAACTCAGTCCTTAATGGTATGTTTTATATTTCTCTGCTACATAGTTACCAAACCTAAATTAACGTTCTACCATAGTTTCTCTCTTTGACTTTTCTTAGAATGATAGCTTTCTGTACCATCACATAGTAGAGAGCTTGCTGCCCGCTGTCACGGGCTACCGGACCTAGTCCGATTTACATAAATTAAATTCATTTCGCTTAAGTTAGTACACGTAACTGTATAATCGCGACCTCAAACTCAGAGAATATATTCTGAACGCTCCCAGATATAGGTCTACAGCATCTGCGATCACATGGATGAGACTCGGGATTACAATTTGGTGCAAGGCAACTTTTCAACCAGTGTCTTCTGGACTTAGTCCTCCCTAGCCTAGATGACTCGCGGCTCTACATGGTCTAAAATTGGACAGTAGACCTGAATCTGCATGATCTAGGTTGTTCTTACTCGAGTCTGTAGTCCAGCAATTCGTTCAGATCGCACAGGAATGGATGGCAGTACAGAGTTTAGGTGACTCAAGTCAGCATAATTGAGCCTGCGACTAAACCTGGTGCATTTGATTGGTGCTTTCAACCCGCCGAGTTGCAGGTGTCGTCTGTTACACAAGGGCTACGGTCGCGAGACCTAGGGCAAAGTCCCTCACCGACTTCTTATATTCAAAGACGTCTTTGGCGACCGAGGCCTTGAGGAAAACCAAGGACCTTTGATACCAAAGCCTGTTACTAGATGAATTGAGTCATATTGCCCCAAGCATTTAGCCCTTGTCACATAGACAGCTCATTCTACGAACTACCCAGCGCCCTTATCAGTTTACCGGCGCCGGTAGCTGTGTGTGACAAGGGCAGGGCTACTAGGCCTGGAAGGTTGGGTTAAAAGTTCAATTTAATAAGCAACTTTGAAGTATCGAAGATGCTCGGTTTCCTAAGAGACTTGAGAGATCAGATGCCTCTATAACTACAAGAAGTCGATGAGCCTAAGCGGCCTGAGGCAACCCTTGTAAAAAACAGTAAAATATGAAAATGAGAGTGTAAAGACGGCTTGAGTTTCAAGTTGACTGATCAGCCTGCCCTGGTATCTAGCTGTCACGGGTCCGCAAGCCCCTTGAATTATCCTGTCAGCTAGGCAGAAACCACAAGCAGGCGACCTCATTCTACTATCTCTAGTTTTCTCTGCGTAGGTGTAGTGCCAACATAATTCCCGTCCTTGTAGTGAATTTCTTTTCCAACACCCCCTCAGGTATCATGTCGGCATCACCATTTGCCCTTAGAGCCTCCTCTAGCGTGCAAAACCCTGTTTGCTCAAACCCCAGTGACTGGTACATGCCAAGTGTGGCCAAGTTGTCAGGCTTCACCATGCACCGGACTGTAATCGTCGGGGCCACCCCACCACGCGAGACGACAAAGTCGCACGCTGCTTTGCAGAGTCGCTTACCGAGGCCCTTTCCCCTATGGCTCGGCAGATTGTACAAACTGAGCATCTGCCATTTCTCCTCTTCTTCATCCGGCGCTGCCGGCGGCTGTCCCGACTCTGAAAGGTGGAATTCCTCGGCGGAGAGAGGCCCGCGCAAGGTAACTTGGGCAACCCATTCGCTTTCGCCCTCCAAGGTGGCTACGCATACAAATGTTTCCTTTCTCGGGTGTTGAAGGCGTGAAACCCAGACGTCGTCGGGAAATTGAGACTCGGTTTCGTACGTTGAAGAAAAGGAATGAGGAGACTGCTTGAGCGCTTCAAGGCGCAGCCTTTTGTATTGGGCTGCTAGCGATGGCAAGTTGGGGTCCGACGGATCAACTCGAACAAATTGATATTCCATGGTGAAAGAATCTGATGCCCCGTCAACACGACGACAGAGCCGTCAATTTATGCTTTGGTCGCATCGGTCTGGTATGCTTTGTCATTTCAAGGACGGTTGCGCATGTTCCGACGCTTCGGCCGAAATAAGTGGGTCATTATTAAGCCGTGGCGCCGAGTCGCGGACCAAAGCGAATGCTTGTGCGGGCGATGGCATATTAGTGTCAATATAAGAATCGGCAAAGTCGAACTCGTCTTTACGGGCATAAATACGGGCTCTGCATACTTCGTGGGCCAGAGTCTGGTTCAGCGTCATCTTACATCATTTACGCCCTCCCTTTCTCTATAAAAGAGCATGACGCTAGCCCAGATGGCTCAACATTGCGGCCATGGCAAAAACGTCGTTACGGACCAAGACCTCGGAAGCAACAATTGTGCCTTGCATGCACGACATGGAACTGTGCGTCGTACGAAGCAAACTATCAGCCAGCTTCTTGGCCGAGATGCAATAGATACCAGTGACTCTGGACCTGCCCCAGATGGAGGCATCAGGGCGTGGATAATCGGTGAGAATATACATTGGAAAATAGTGCTAAGCGCGATCGTGGCTTTATTCTCTAGGCTAACTAGTACGGAACACCAAGTCCTCTGCTCACACTTTGTGGTTATGAATACGTGGGGGTTTGCCAATTCTTTCGGGGCCTTCCAGGCCTATTTTGTCGAGACACTCGGTCGTAAACCCTTCGATATTTCCTGGATAGGCTCAATGCAAGTATTTCTGCTCTTCTTCCTGGGCACCTTCACTGGTCGTCTGACGGACGGGGGATACTTTCGCCCCCTACTCCTCCTCGGAACAGCATCGACTCTCGTTGGGCTATTTGCCTCATCATTTTGTTGCCGATATTGGCAATTTTTCCTCGCGCTGGGGGTTACTGTAGGTATCGGCAACGGGTGTCTGTTCTGCCCCATGCTTACAGTCCTGTCTACGTATTTTGACAAGAGAAGAGCTACTGCCATTGGCATCGCGGCTTGCGGCTCAGCTACGGGTGGCCTAATATATCCCACAGTGGTCCGCCAGCTTCTCCCGTCCCTCGGATTCCCGTGGCTCATGCGAATAATCGGCTTTATCCAGCTTGTATTACTTATCATGGTGAATATCTGGCTGCGCCCTCGTATCGCACCTCGGAGACCTGGCCCTTTGCTGGACTGGATGGCGTTGAAAGAGACATCATATGTATTTTACACAATAGCATCATTTTTTGCAAGTACCTTCCCTGTACAAGTCAACGCAATCGGAATCCACCTCCTAACTTTATATCCCACTTGCAGTGCCTTCTTAGCCTCTACTTTTCCTTATTCTTCGTTGCTTCCTTCTCCCGTACGGACGTCAACCCGGCATTTTCCTATGCACAATCGTTGAATTTACTCTTGCTCCTCAATGGAATCGGTATCATTGGCCGCCTGGGGCTGAACTGCCTAGCGGACAGGGTAGGCACAATCAATCTATTCATCCCCGTTGCTGCATGTACAAGTATTCTCTTGTTTTGCTGGCCAGCTGTCCACGACGTCAGTGGTATCTATGCCTGGACTGGTGTATGTGGCGTTGCAACTGGTGGCCTTCAGAGTTTGTTTCCTGCCGCCCTGAGTTCCCTGACGCTGGATATGAGTAAGTTGGGTATTCGAATGGGCATGGTGTTCTCCGTTGTCAGCTTCGCTAGCTTGGTTGGCCCTCCAGTTGGTGGCCAGTTGATCAGCATGATGAATGGTAAATATTTGGCCGCGCAGCTTTTTGCAGGCTCGTCCATGCTGTTGTGCACGGCGTTTCTGATCGCTGCTCGGCATGTGAGCTTGAGGGTTCAAAAATTGGGCAACGGTAACCGGAGCGAAGTTTCACCTCCTTCCCGTTAACTCATGGCTCACCAATGAGTCGGGATAACCAGCCTAGTCCATAGATTGGGTCATCTAATTGCTCGTCTGTCAGATGCTCTATCTGATATCCGCATCTCCTCCGTCGGCTCCCTGCAACAAACTGTCAAAGAAGACATTCACGCCTTGCAAGACCCAATTATTTGTGTCAAGAACCATGTTTGATTGTCCGGCATGCTGCTGTTGCATGAGTGCATGGGCAGTGCCTGTAAATGATGAGTGAAATTGGTGACGCTGTGTTGGCTGGGGATCCGTGGTGTTCGGTCCCATAGCGACTGTATTATGAACGAGTGGATCGAGAGCTGAGCCATCGGCAGAGCCAAGTATTCTTGCTAAGTTGCTGTTTGATGGCGCCTCTGTTATTGGGCTGCTGGGTTGCGGCCGCCGCTCGTCGTCACGGTCATTAGAGACCTGCGGCCAGCCCGAAATTGCTGGCTCCCTAGAAATGCGCCCCTCGCGAGCTATTTTGATGGTTCCAAAGTGTGGAATATGGATGTACAATACGGAGGAGTCATTACTGAAGCATGCATGCGGAGCGTCTGTGCCAAGGCTGCCCTCGGTCAGACTCAGCCGAGACGGAGAAACGCTCTCGGCTGCATCGACACTCTGTGTGCTATACGTACATCCTTCCGCAGCGTGGCCTTCGACTGCAAGCAGTTGGGCCAAAAGGTGTGCTGCTTTGTGGGGGAGGGGATCGGTATTAAGCTCGGTGACGCGTTGCATAATGTCGATGACTTGTTCCACCATGGCAAGATCACTGGAACGCTGATGAGCTATGAAGCTATGGCCAGCATGCTGATTGGCGTTAATGTGAGCCAAGACGAGGGTCATGGCTGCCGTGAGGGTGAAGAAGTCTATAGATTGACAGCACAAGGCAAGCAAGTTGGAGGAGCGAAGGGCAATGAAGCGGGTCAGCATCTCACGGCTGGAGGTGACCGAGGTGACCCTGTTGTAGACGTACTTGGGATCCAGCGAGGCGCGAAGCATGTATGGTAGATGCAATTGGTTCAACAGGCCGTAGTGCAGCAGCTGGTTGATGAGTCGGAGCGTCTCCGAGAAGACGTCGCGACATTCGCAGCTTGCGAGGTTGGCCAAGTTTGGGGGCAGCCACCACCGGGGCGGCATGGATTGCGCCAACCGTTGGATGTCGAGGTCGATTTCTCGTGTTGTGGTCAAGTCGTGGGACGTGGTTAGGCCTCGCTGGTTGCGGTCGAGAATGCGAGAAGCTATTACACAATGCATCCGCTCGAGACGTCCCATGGGAGTATCGCTGGCCAGAGCCGACTCGCTTGCAAAGCTATCGTCAGGGGAGCCCTGAGGCAGGCCGAGCATCAGACATAGGTACCGATCCATGCTTATAATGCGGAACCAGATGAATTGTGGCATCGCCTTGGTGGCAGGATCGAGCGTGGTTGGGGTCTGAGCATTGGCGTTGAGCCCTATCAGTTGGGAAAATGCCACGGCACGGCGGAAGGTCAGCCATGCTCGCCTCAAGTTGCCACTATTTGCCTGGAATGAGCCCTCCAGCAACAGACACTCTATTCCTTCCACAGAGAGCATAAGATGGTCATTGGCAGTAACGAGACTGGAGGCGGTGTTGAACAGTCTTTCCATCATAGCGGACGGAGACTCCGAGAGCCCGCAGGCTGGATCTTGGAAGTCGGAGTGGACATGTTGGAGAGACGCGGCAAGCATGAGCATATGGCGAGCAAGAAGAACGGGATGAGCGCTGGGCGCGGGCAAGGTTGCTAGGTTTGCGGCCGGCTCATAGTCCTCGCGGGTAAGCTCAGAATATGGCCGAATCAGCATCTGATGCAAGAAGACTGCGAAGCCTTTGCGGTGCTGACAAACAATGCGGCAATCCTGGGCCGAGGGGAGCGCTGCGTAGAGAAGAGCCGATATCTGTCCAAGCTTGGGCGTGTAAGAGGCATCGGGGACGGGAGTCGGGGGATGACAGTCTGTCGTCTGGAAAGCTGGCTCCGAACTGTGAGTTGCACGTACGCCGCGATGTTCACAAGAGGCCTAGCAAAGAGAAGAAGAAAAAAGTTAGACTGCAGCGTTCACTGCTCACCCGTGACGCGAGACGAACCGGTGGCGTGACCTGCAAAGATGAACAGGCCGTAGAACCGGCCATGTCCAAACTTGAATGGGCCGCGGCAGGACTACGACGCAAAACAGGAACGTTCTGGACGAGCCGCCCTAGCAGTCCCTCGACTCTCTCCATGCGCTCTGCCATTTCTGCGTGTTTATCGGCTGGTCGGGGGAATTCGTCCGGGACTGGGCCATCTTGGCTGACACAATGAGCACCTCGGCGTTTGCACCCGAGACACGCATCCCCTTCCTCGGAGCATGGAATGCAACGGACCTTGCGCCGCTTGCATTCCCAACAGCTTCGCGTGCCTTTTCGAAGCCTTCGCTTCCTTGGCCTGTCGGCCTCGGGCGCGCGGGACGGGGGCCGGACGTTGATGACGTCCATGCTGCAGGCATTCCTCGGAGGTATGGCTTTTCTTGTTGGATGACAACTCCGTCGCGTCGAGGGACAGAAGAGGAATCGGCGCGGGGTCAATTGATGCCTGGATGGATGAAAGTGACTGAATTATTCCGCCGAGTTGGCGGAAGCGCCATGGCCCCAGGTGCCATGAATTAGTCTGGTCCATGCGGTCCGTCGTCTTGTCCCTTCGGACTTAACGGCCCACCGTCACTTGTTACCGTTTGAAGCTTGAACTCTATTATCGCGTTACCGGCTATGGGGCCGAGCGCACGCAGGATTTACGCAGGAAGGAATATTTCCTAAATCCGCCCACAGTCTTTATATCAATTCACCCCGCCTGATGCGAATACATATATACTTGCATCGACCAGCCTTGTGCCGCTTAGGATGCCCATCCTTAGAAGCAAGAGCAAGTAAGCAGCCACCATGCCTCTCAATGTTCCCGCCGCCCACCGTCTTCTTGACCTTCTTAGTCTAAAGGGCAAGGTAGTCATTGTCACCGGCGCCTCAGGCCCTCAGGGTATCGGTATTGAGGCGGCCCGAGGCTGTGCAGAAATGGGCGCCAATATCGCCATAACTTACACGTCGCGAAAGGAGGAAGCCGATGCCAACATCGCCGACCTGATAACCAACTACGACGTTCAAGCTAAAGCATACCGCTGCGATATATCCGACTATGCCAGTGTCGAGCAGCTTGTCCGTGATGTGATCCGGGACTTTGGCAAAGTTGACGCTTTCATTGCAAATGCCGGAGCTGTCCATCACAGCACCATGCTTGATGCTTCCAAACAAGACTGGGACAGAATCATCAACCTTAACCTCAACGGCACGGCCTACTGTGCGCAAGTCATTGGGCCTCACTTTCGAAAGCAGGGTCATGGCTCCTTTGTGATTAATGCCAGCATCGGCGGGCATGTCGCCGCCATGCCCATCGAATTTGGAAGCTATAGTGTCGCCAAGGCAGGCTGTATTCACTTGGCCAAAACTCTGGCCAACGAGTGGCGGGGGTTTGCAAGGGTCAATAGTGTCTCGCCAGGGTACATTGATACAGGCTTGGCAGGAGGCATTGGGAATGACATCCTCGATGTTTGGAACAGCATGATTCCCATGGGGCGCCAAGCGGATCCCAAGGAGTTGAAGGGTGCCTTTGTTTACCTCGTCAGCGATGCTAGCTCTTACACCACTGGGGCGGATATTCTCGTCGATGGAGGGTATTGTGTCCGGTAGCTGGAGGCATGTTCTCGAGTCAAATTGGGGCTAAGAGCCCATTTATCCTGCAGTGATGCTGACAGTCAGAGGGCCATCGTGGTTATAGAGTGAGCTCCCAACAATAAGATACCGAGCACAGCAACAACAAGGGACTTACTAACGAGTCAAGAGGTGGGTATATAATATTTATGCAAAGCATTATTATAAGCAGGTATTCATGCGCTTTAATAAGAGGTGGGTATATAATATTTATGCAAAGCATTATTATAAGCAGGTATTCATGCGCTTTAATAAGAGGTGGGTATATAATATTTATGCTAGCTTTATTATATACAGAAATTTATGCGCTTTAAATAAAGCCTTGCTAGTATAAAAGGTTAATTTTACGTATATACTAAAGCCTCTTGCATAACAGGCTATAATATTAGAGAATACTAGACAGTCACGCCACTATTATAGGCTGCATAAAAACGACCCAGCCTAATCCCCAATATTAATATATCTAGGGTTATCGGATTGGCCGGTCCTGAGTCATTAAAGAGGGGCGGGTTATAGTTATTACTTATGCTTGATAGTCAGCTAAATTTTTCCCTTCGTACTTATCTTTTCTTATATATAGCTCTGTTAGTATCCCCGGGATTAAAGGGTTAGCAGCTTTTACTCAGGAAAACTAAAAGAATAAACCTGCACTCTTTGAATCTATAGAACCTATTCAAGTTCGCATATTACTATCCATTTACTTCAAGTTATCACGCTACTATGTTCTCTACTACTATGTTCCCTTTATTCTTGCTAAGTGCCGCCGCGGGGGTCAACGCGATTCTCGGCGGCGAAGTTCGCGGCATCCAAATTAACGATAAAGAATTCATTTGCGCGAATAATTGTGCCTATCGGAATATCTACCTTACTAGGCATGGAGAATTTTGCCCCAAGGAAGAAGTTATCCTTATACAGGAGATCCACTATGCGAACAAAGACTTCGACTGCAAAAGAACTAAACCACAATGGTGGTATACAGAGTTTCCGCGTTCCAGCGGAGACGAACCACAAGAGTGCAAAGTTCAACAACTTAAAAATTTTGATGGGGAGCCATTGTGCTATAGTCCCAGGAATCTTGGCAAAGATGGGAAGATGGTATCGTGGAAGGAGATAGAAAAGGAGCTCCAATCGGCCAAGTCAGAGGGCGGGCAGGGCACTTCTGAGAAGAACAAGCCTGCACGACAAAAGCCAAAGCGACCAGCCCCACCTATATTTCAAGAGTGTCTTGATATATTTCCATCTAAGTATGCTTTCTGCAAGGACGATACTTGCAGAGAGAATGCTATGCAGGAGTTTAGCGAGTGTCAAGGCAACAAGGACCAAAGTTCTTAGAATGCCTATAGAACTCTGGCGACTTTAGGACTAGAGCAACACACAAGGCGGGGAGGCAATTGACAACTGCTGGTATGGGAGGTAACATTTATAACGGACTAGGCCCAAGAATAGCTCGGCTGCGCTCTCGCCCCTCTCAGGAGCTTAAGAGTTCTTCGAGCTCTTGGTTTCTAGTTCTTCTCTTTCTTCAGCTTTAGATTCTTATAGTAGTCTCTTAGCTATTTATCAATATACTCGCTTAGACTTTTACAATATTATAGCGGACAGGGACCACACTGTGGCAAGCTTGAGATTTGGGTTAGTTCAAAAGGCTCAAGTATTTTGAGCTAGGCACGCTCAACTAACACATGCCACGCCCGAAATGGGGTTACCACTTCAGGTAACGGCTTCCAATTCTGGCAGGAGCGAGGCACGTAAACTGAAAAGGAAGGAAAAGGACTAGAGGGACTTAATAAAGTAAAAGTAGCACGACGAATATCTTTGTTCAGCCAAAGGCTATGTATATATACTTTAAGGTACGAAAGGCTTTTCTGGACGTACCTTAACACTAAAAGTTTCTTCCCGTTAAAGCCCTCGTCTCTTGTTAGTTATAGTTTCTTGTCCTCTACTTGGTCTTTTTTTGTTGCCCAGCCCGACCCCGCAAGGAAGTTGATGGATTTGCCTGCGTCTCCAACGGTCTTCCTTCTTACTCAGCTTCCGCAGCCTCGCTTGTGCAGCGGTCATCTCTTCGGGTACTTTGTTGCCTACCAGATCTCTCTCCCACGCTTTCGACAGTAGCATGATGTTATCCAGAGACCTCCTGTACTCGAAACGCCGCTACGCTATAGTATTCTGTCGTGGCTGGGGCCCCCGTCGACGTAGTTTGGGTAATGCCCTTACGATTGCTTCCGCTTCTTCTCGTCGCGAAACCTCTTCAAAAGCTGATCTCGCTAATCGAAACGCGGAGGCCGCACCCGTAAGCCCCCCACACCCCGACGGTCGACTGTCTCCTTGGCTGCTGATCTGGGGCAGTGCGGCTATCTAGAGTATTTCTTGCCATGTCCGCAACTAAGTCTGTTATTACTACTCTGCTATGTGTATTTCACAGCCAGGATTCCCTATTATGCTGCTGTTACTTTAACGTTAAGTACCCCTAACAAATAGTATATATTTAGCTCTAGAGCTTTGCTGCTTAAATTATATTGCTTATAAATATGCTCTTTTTAAATATAAGAAACTTACCTAAGAATAACTTCTCTTATACTGTGGTATTTCCTTTAAATTATATTATTTTTTACTGTAGTACTATACTAATAAGCTAATAGTTCCTTATATTCGCTATAACCCTACCTTTACGTTTATTATTATAGTTTTAGCCAGTCTAGGTAAATAACTTTTTACTTTAACTTTATTAGCAGTAGTCCTTCTAACACCGTATTATTTCCTGCGATAGCTAATTCAGCCCTAATAACTACTCTACTGAAATAAAGATAGTGTTATTATTGCTTTTTCTTAATATAAACTTTTAGTATATATAAATAAGGCCCTATTAACCTGTATATATATACTCTTTAAGCTATACTTTTTAAGCTATTTAAATATTATACTCCCGCCTTTACTTGTTAGTTCTAGTAATATTTACTAGGCTTACCCTGTATTATAACTTACCCGTGATATAAAGGGCCATTTTAAGCATTAACCTCATCCTCAGACTAAGTATCATGCCATTATCCCCCTTCCAGAGCGTACACGCCATAAGGTCATTTGGCAGCACAGCTAGCAACGAACCTTCTCCCCCTAGGGCTTTTATTTGCACCACCTACAGTGGGTATAGTCTCTCTCCGTGCGCCGGTGAGCACTTCAGCCTATACACCTGCATTTTCTCCTCAACAGCAAACTCACCAAGCCGTCCATGTTAAAAAGGAAAGAAAATTCAGACAGAATAAACTAATAAGCTTCTTATATAAAAAGAAAGAAAAAAATATATAGCAAATTCAAAACCTGCCTGATTATGTGGCCACAAAACAAGCCCGGCTTGTCTTGTCAACTATATTCGCCATAGCTCTCAAATCTACCGCCTGCTCTAAAATTCTTAAATGCACCTTGACACCTATCCTGGCCCTGATAGCATACTGCAAGTGAACTAGATGCAAAGAATTTCCTCCTATCAAGAAGAAACTAGAGCTTGGGCCGATGTCGGCCGACTCTGCCACTTCGCCAATAATATTAATCCACAGGTTGCGAAGAATAGCCTCCGTTTCCGTCATGTCGGCTTCACCTTGTTCTTGTCTTGAGAGTAGAGGGAGCGGCAAGGCCTCTAGAGCTGCCGTATCCAGTTTTCCATTCGGTGTCATTGGCAAACGCTCCAGGGGCACAATGGCCGATGGAATCATGTAGCGTGGCAGCGTCATCGTGCGGACAAGTTGAGTAAGCTGCTCGTTGCTCAAAGTCTTGCCGTGTCTAAAGACGACGTGGCAGACGAGGAGTTGCGCATCGCCCCGAACAGTCACGGCTGCGTTGATCAAGTCGTTTGGTGCTGCCTCCAAGACTGCGCCAGCGACTTCTCCAAGGTCAACGCGCAGACCTCGCAACTTGACGACTGCATTGCCGCCCCGAGTCCTCCCAAGAAAGATGACTGACCCGTCTGGATGGAGAATGCCCCGATCACCAGACTTGTACATGGTGCTAAATCTTGCATCTACTTGCTTAGCAGTGGCAAATGGGTTCTTGACGAACTTGGCGTCACTCATCTCAGGGCTGAGATAGCCATTAGCGACCCCTGCGCCGCCAATGCATATTTCGCCCGCCATGCCTTGAGGCAGCAAGCTCCCATCATGCTCACTGGTGATGTAAATCGATGTGTTTGGAAGGGCGTGGCCGACGGATCCGTTCTGGTCCTCGCTCTTATCGTAGCTAGCAGCAGCCCTCACCGGTATATCTCGACATGTCACAATGAAAGCCTCGGTAGGACCGTAGCAGTCGGTCAGGGTCAGATTGGGCAATTTCAAACCTCGTATGCCATCAACCACGAGCTGGGGGAGAGCCTCTCCGGCTGTTCCTGCAAAGCGCCAAGAGCGGCATTGTCGTAGGGCAGCGTCGGCATATGTAAGAAGCAAGCCATACTCGGAAGGGGTGCACATTGTGTACTCAATCTTCTCATCCACCATGAGCCTTGAAAGCATGTCCGGATCCCCTCGAGCTTCGACGGGCGCAACCACGAGCATCCCGCCGTTGGTGAAGGCGCTGTAAATTTGAGCCAGAGACAAGTCAAAGCCAAATGATGTTTGTTGCAAAACCGTAATCTGTCCGAAGCCGTGGGTTCTGCTCGCAAACTCTGCGTACGTCATCAAGGCCCTTTGATGGAGTCTAATGCCCTTGGGTGCGCCGGTCGAACCGCTTGTGAATAGAATACAGCTATCGGATTCTGCCTCGCAAGGGACACGCTTGGGAATAGGAGAATCCTGTTGGCGATCCTGGGCGAGTTTCGTGATATCGAATGACTTTATGACATGGTCTGCAGTCTCTACGATTGCGCTCTCTGCGGTTGCTCTGTGAAAGACGAGGACGTCCGGGTTACATGCTCTCAATATGGTTTTACGTCTTGCAGCAGGTAAGCTGACATCAAGGGGAACGAAGACAGCCCCAACATGGAAAACTGCCAACATGACTGCGTAAAACTCAATGCTTGGTTCACAGTGAACAGCAACCCGAGATCCCTTGGTAATGTTCGCTTCGATCAAAATCCTGGCGTAAAGACCTGCCTTTGCCCTCAATTGGCAGTAGGTGATGGTTTCGCTACCGTGCTTGACCGCAACCGACTTTGGGAAGCTGGTAGCGACCTGATAAAATCTTTCACATAGCGAATTGGGCCATGAATACTGCAACTCTGATCCTTCGGCAGCAGTCGCGGCTTGTTGTATCTGAGCGTTGCTGAACAGCTTGTAGTCCTTGACAGAAGCCGTGGGCTCTTGACTTATAGTCTCGAGTACATTGATAAAGGTTTCCATCATGAACTGTGTGGCTTCAATGGAGTAGAAATCATCACTTAACCTCATGTTGAGTACATGATCCCCAGAGGCGGTGTGGAGAACATCGACTGTCATATCGTACAAAGTCGTATAGTTGAGCTCGCCCAGGGTCAAGGTACAACCTCCCATGGGGCTCAATCTGCTCTCCTGAACTCCCCGGTAATCATACGCAATCTGGAACATGGGCATATTGCCTTCACTTGTCTCGGGCCGCATCTTTTCTACAATGGCGGCAAACGGAATATTCGCGTTGTCAAGGCAGTCCTGCAGAGTCTGGGCCGTATCTTTTAATACGTTCAAGAATGATTTGCCCAAGACTCCTTTGGATCGAAGCGGTAGGACATCGGCCAAATGCCCAATGGTGCCCCCAAACTTACTCGTTGGGTCACGACCGTTAAACACAACCCCAATGCACAAGTCGTCAATGTTTAGAAGGCGGCAAAGCAGTACATGTAAAGCGGACAAGTAAAATTGCATTGGAGTGACATGTTGATGTCGAATAACTTTGTCAATGCGTTGCACTAAATCGCCGTCCAACACCGTTTCAATGTAGTGATGACCGTATGCTCGTTGTCGACGTCTTGTTTTGACTTTTGCAAGGGGGAGCAATGGAAGAGGTTCCGGGGCGGGGTTCAGAAGCTTTTTCCAGTATTCAAGGCTGTCAACAAAACGTCCGCTCCGGATATCGTCGAATTGTTGCCGCGTAAAGTCGAGATATGACGTAGGATTTGGACTCAGAGGTGCAAATTGATATGCGCGGCCAATGTCACCCATCAAATGAGCCATACTGAATGCGTCAATAGCAATGTTGTGGAATCCCAAAACCAGAGTATGAGACTGCTCGCCATGACTAATCAGTGTGGCGTGAAGCGTGTCTCCTATCGAAAGATCGTACTCATGTTTAGCCGTTTCCTCGAATGCCTTCTTGACGTCCGCCGCTCCAGTTTCAGCTGTTGAATGTAATAGCGTAAGCCGAGATTGCCGATTTCTCTTAATTACGTGCTGTCTAGGCTCAGAGCTTTCTGCAGTCGCCAGGAAACATGTTTGAAGCGCGTCATAATGAAGCATCGTTGCATCAAATGCCCGACTGAACCTGTTAACACTCAGCTGACCCTTGATATTAATCTTTACGGTGAGGTTAAATGATGACGGCATCTCGGAGATTGTGTTCAAGTAGAACCATCCTGACTGTGCATATGACAATCTTTCTGATTGAAGATATTCTAGCTCAGGCTCTGGCGTCACGATGGACGATTCTGTAGTTGATTGCTGGTAAGAGGTCGGTGATGCTTCATTCTTGATAGAGTTGGTAGTAGGAGTACTCATGGCAGAGGTATTTAGCTGTGTCTCGCCAGTTAATGTTGCTTTGGGCATCAGTGTCGCCGATTCGCGGCGAACCTCCCCTTGGGGTGTGGGTTGTGTCTTGACATTTGCGGGCTCGGGGTTTTTGGTCGACTTCTTGTCGAGATACTGTTCGGCGACGGTTCGAATAATAGAAGAAGACGAGTCTCTACCAAAAATCTTGAGCATAGAAATGTCGACGGCCATCTTCTCCCGGAACCACTTGCGAATTGCTATGGCATTGATTGAATCAATGCCTAGATGAGACAAGGGCTCATCAGGATGGATTGAGTGCAACGAAACGTGGATCATGGACTCAATCTTGGCTGACAGTAACTCAGTGATGGGTGGAATTGCCTCGTCAACTGAACTGGAGTTTTCCAGATCCAGCTCCCACTGCTGGTTTGAAGCCGGCGCTTTGTCTATTGTTTCTTTTCCAATGGATTTGGAAACGCGCACCATATGGGACAGCAAAGCTGAATCAACCCATGATGGCCTTACGGCCTGTCCCCGATCAGTGAATGTTTCGAGGCCCATGATGACCTCACCACTCCCAGTGGCTGGGTTGCCCTCAACGATTCCCTGGAGTATGACATGGTGAAAGTCTGCCTCGGATAACGCCGTTGGAACAAAGGAGCGGAGCCATTCCTCAACGTTGGAACTACCAGATCGATCTGATCGGGCCACGTATCCGACGTCTACCAGCATCCCAAAGTTGAGAATTGATGCTGCCAGACCACGTCGCCTTCGGTTCCTTACCATGCTCATCATAAATGTATTGCCTGCGTGGTACATTGGCTGTCCGGCGTTGCCACACACGGTCAGCAAGGACCCAAAAGCCATGAAGAAATCCAACTTGTCGGTTCTGAATTCATCATCGAGATGAGCTGTGCCAGAGACCTTGGGCTGGAGCTGTTTTCCAATACTCTCCGCCGAAAGATTTGCAAACACTCCAGGTTCCAGCACCAAAGCGGCATTCGTGACACCACCAATCTGCGGCATGGTGCGACGGAGCAAAGAGACCGTCTCGCGGACCTGAGAACGGTCTGTCACATCCATTTTTACCACACGAATGTCGATGCCATCTCTTCTGAGGTCCTTTACCCAGGGTTGCTCTTTTGGATTTCGGCTGGACAGAACAATGTACCGCGCTCCGCCACGAACAAGGAAATACGTCAGAGATTGACCGAGGTCACTTGCCATGCCCACCAAAAAGTATGTTTTGTTTGGTGATATGAGGGTGCTTGGGTCAAGAGGCTGGCGTGTTACACTAATTTGTGCCTCTCTGTCCCATTTTGTCACGGCAGAGAGATGTCCCGGGTTGGCATTACGCCTTTGCGGTACGTCCTTAATGTCGACGATGGTGGGTGTTGAGGCTGTGCGGAAGACATCCTGTTGCATCTGATAGATTTCTATAGCTTCCTCGACCGATTGTTGCGTGAGGCTTCTGGTGTCAAATCCTTGTATAGTGCAGCTAGCTGGCAAGTATGGCAACACAACTTTCGTATCCGTTTGAGACAAATCGAACAGAGCAGCTGTGTCAGAAGGAATCAACTTGTGTATGCTACGAGTCGATTGGTGTGGATGAATGGAAATCCATTCTGCTCTCTCACTTTGCTGTTTTGAAGTGACTTTGACAAACAACACTTTTCGCCCGGACCTCGCGGCCAAGGAAGATGTCACTCTGGCTAGTTCTTGAGATGCACCGCAAACAAGGGTTGTTCCGTCGCTTAGTATGCGGGAAACTATGTGTGATGCAATCAAGCAGCTTGCCAAGTTGACTAGAGTCGTCGCATCGCAATTCTGAGCAAGGGATGAGCGGGCAATGGAGTTGTTGCCAATAGAAGCAATAGAAGCATCCTTCCTTGACAAGGTCAGTACTGTCTCTTGTCCATATTTCAGCTGGCCATAGGAGAGAAAGCAAGGGAACTTGCTCTCGCTGTGCAAAGCAACTGATAACTTGACATGGACAGGCATATCACCCTCCAAGATGTCAATGCCACGACTGCACACAAGTTGGGATTCGGGTGAATCAGCATCTTGGGCAGTCTCAATGGGCTCATCAGGCCCAACGAGCTTCACAACCCGGCGACGGCCAGAGTTGTAGATCTCGTTGGATTCATCATTCACCACTATTCGGTCCACAATCATGTGCGAATCCTTTATAACAACCTCTGGCTCTTCCTTCCACAGCATCCCCTCAGTCGTGTCAGGCGAAGATGATGAGAATACGAGGCGAAGAAACTGGCGCACCAGCGCGTGTACATCCCACTCATCCTGTGCGTCGAAATCGAGAAATTGGAGGCTCACATGGGTCAACTCAAGCCTGAGTGAGCGCCCAATACCGATCATAATGTTTGCATATGGGTCATTCTCCAAACGGCCCGATGTTACCCACAATGTGTTTTTGCAAGTTCCCAGCACCTCCTTGAGATTTTCCATCTCATTTTCTGTCGGGAAAGAAGAGAACAGCGGCCTGTCAAGTTCCTGGAGGACTATGACGGATGATGCTGGTTGGATGCGAGACATGTCCACTTCATCGAACCGCCCATAGGCCTGGATTTCTGGTGCCCAAGCACGCAGGAGCTTGTCTATACCTCTGATGAGGCTCGAGACTTGGCTCGTCTCACCTCCAATGATTGTCACGGGGTTTGGCGGGATCATACCCATAGCAAGAAGGGGATCTCGTAGGATTTCGAAGCGATCGTCAACAGCTTGGGCTGAAAAGACGGACACCCCGTGCATGCGCGAATCAGGCTGGTCGTGTAAAATGCAGTCAATACCCGAGAACCCCGATCGGTGAAGCAGTTTGTCGAGGTCGCCTGTCTTGACGGCGTATCCATCTGTTACTCGACTGTTGGAACCTCTCGACCAGTTCTCTAATCCGCCCATGAGAGCAATTGGTCGAAGCGAGGAGCCTGTAAGCGCCATGGAGATTAAGAAGCCCCCAGGGCGCAAGACACGTCGCAAGTTCTGGACAACTTGTGCCAGAGTTGGGCTTGCACGTAACAAACCGGTCACAATGACAACATCGTACAACCCCAGATCGTCCTCTTGGGATGTCAGGTCCGTCTCGAAATCAATGTGTCTGAAGCTGCCAATTTTGTTCAAGTCGGTCGGAACCAGAGACTCCTTGAGTCTGCTGAGGACTGTTTCCGAGGAACCGGCGCAGGTGTAAGATTCGTACGCATCACCAATAGCATCAAAGACGCTGGCGGCAGCGCTGCCAGTGCCAGTGCATATCTCAAGAACGTTGGTCCGGGGAAATTTATGACTGACTTGACGTACCAGCTGAGAGATGAACTGGATGCATAAAACAAAGCTTTGGGTATCCTGGTAGGAGGACTTTGACGACATCTCAAATACTTCATTTGTTGACTCGTAGTCCCCTCTCAGCAAAGAGATGGACTTTTCCCCATTCACCCTCAGCATTGCCATGTCAACATCCCCAGGATACCGGCTTAGTACATCTTCAATGGTAGCTGAATCGTCCTCAAGCCATTCTCTTCGCAAGTGAGACTGGTCGCCTGTGCGAACTTTGGTCATAATTGCGTTGATATAGTAAATCAACTGCTGATGCTGTGGCTTCAGTCTCTCCAATTCCTGTTTGTTCACCGAATGAGCCAAGGACTGCAGATAAAACAGCGCGACGCGTTCGTAATCCTCCAACGTATAAAGCGGTGGTCCCAATGGAACGGCATCTGCCAGCGGATGAATCAGGCCATATGCCACATCCAGACCCCAAACTGTCTTGGCCAGAATGTTCCGATCGTCTGAGGGCTGCGGGTCCGATATGGCCTTGAAACTGACACCCTCCATTTGAATTCCGCACACATCGCCATGAAGGCTCATTTGATCACGCAGGTTGATGTCGATTTCCATCAGCTTCCCAATACCTCTACTCACCATGTAGGCCTCAATGTCAACGTTGGTCGAGCGATTAGGACCCCGGAACCTTTCATTTGGATTTACGACAACCCTTTTAATCCCAACAGGAAGGTAAGAGGAGGCCATGGAGTTCTCAGCGGCAGATAAAAAGGTTGAAAGCCCTGCTTGAAGGGCGACGTCTAGAATGGCAGGATGCAGCGTGCAGTCAATATTGAGATCTTCTGTAGACCACGAGGCAACTGCCTTGGCGTGACCCCAGCATCTGTTGAGCGAAGTCAGTCCACGAAAAGGACCTTGATATTGAAAGCCCATCTCCGAAGCCGCGCCATAGAATCGGTCAATGTTGAACGGGGTGAGGTTGACCTCGGAGATGCAGACCGGCGCCAAGTCTGCCGACTCGAATTCGCCGAGGTGAATACGCAACCGGCCGTGGCAAGTTCTGTCGGCATCGCGCTGATCAGGATAACTGTAGCATGCGAACTCGGCCTCCAAAACACAGCCAGCCTCAACGTTCTGGGGCGAGACATGACTGCGAATGATGAACAAGACCTCGACCTCGTCCCTCTCGCCAATGGCTAATGCTGTAGTGATCAACAAATCCTCTACTTGGATCAGTTTGATCGCTCTTCCTTTGACAAAGGCTTTGGCGGCATCCACAGCCAAACTAATGTAGCCAGTCGCGGGGAACAGAACCTGGTTTTGAAAGACGTGCCCCTTGAGCCAGGGCATCTCGTGGAGCAGGAAGATGTTGCGCCATACCTGCTCATACTGGGAATCATTCCACAGGCGGCCGAGGAGGTCATGGGGGAGTTGTTTGCCGAGACGGTAGTTCTGAACCACGCGTGACTCTCGCCAGTGAATCTGCGTGTGATCCCAAGAGTACGGTGGTAGGTTTTTGATGGTCTGCGGCTGGGCTACAAGGCCAAACGCTCTTCGCCATCCACCAAAGTCAATCGAAGACGGGGAAATAGTCCAAAGAGCTGCAAGTGCCTCTGAGAATGTTTCTATACTGTCTCCATCTCGACTCAGCAAAGGAGCATAATGTGGAGTGTAATCAATAGACTGCGTCAGGGTCTGCTTCAACGGGCCTCGCAAGGCGGGATGAGGCCCAACTTCAATTGCAGCGGAAAACTTTGTCGATGCGTCTTGTACGGCCGACTTGACGGCTTCCGAAAAGTAGACGGGTTGCACCATGTTGTCAAGCCAGTACTGGCCCTCCAGCCCAAACTCTGGAGGGTTGGCGAGAATATCCGTATTGGTCTTTACACTGGAATACCAGCGACAGTCGTCATCACTTGCAGGCGTCTGTACACGCACATTGAGTTGTTTGAGATGGGCTGCATAAGCGTCTACACATGCAAGCATCTGGTGTGAATGGTAGGCTGTGTCGACCTGAAGAACTCGGGCTTGGATGTTGCGCTCATCCAGGACTCTCTTGGCCTCCACGACGGCGTCTGCATCGCCAGACAGCGTTGTGCTTGAAGGAGAGTTACTGGCTGCGATGGTGATTCTGCCTTTGAATTGCTTCTCAGAGCATAGCGCCATGGCATCATCAAGGGACGTGGCGACCGCCATCATGCCGCCTGATCTCCCACCGTTTCCTTGGGCGAGATGAGCCACGTGGCCTCGATAGTAAGAGATTCCCATGGCATCCCTCCTGGTAAGGAGTCCTGCCGCGTATGCTGCTCCAATCTCACCAGATGAATGGCCGACAACAGCACAGAAGCGGATTCCGCTGGCGCGTAAAAGGTCAACGAGACCAATTTGGACGGCTGTGCAGAGCGGTTGCGAGAACTTTGCCTGCGACGCGCGTGATGTTGCGGCATCAGCAGCCAGTTCCTCGGCTAAAGACCATTCGGGGGGGTCTGGGATCAATTTGAGCGCCAAGTCACACTGCCTGATTGAGTCTTGAAAGAGTTTGCAATGTTGCAGCAGTGCGTAGCCCATCCGGGGCGCTTGTGCACCCTATTTAATCGTTAGAAATATGTGCTCATCATGGGGCTACAAATATGCACATGGCGGCGAGGTTTGGCTTACTTGGCCAGTGAAAACACCAAGAATTCTCGGCTCATCGCCAGCACCACCACCAAGCGGGCTAAGAGTCGATGTTGCTACAGTGTTGACTTGGTCCTCCAACCTTTGAATCAAGTCATCGCGATCCAAAGCTGAGGGGATAGTAACTCGATACGGGAACACCGATCTCTTGGAGTGTAGACTGTTGCTCAAAGAGTCAAGGTCCAGGGACGAGTTTGCACGCAGGTGACCAAGTAGCTTTTTGAGCGAGTTGAGCAGTGAACTGGGAGTTCTGGCCGAGAACACAAATGGTCCAACCAGCCTTCCCCCGACCATAGTGGTATGTACACTTGACGAAAGGGGGGATGGAGATGCGGCATCAGAAGGCTCGTAGCTCTCAAGAATAGCATGAGCGTTTGTCCCGCCGAAGCCGAAGCTGTTGATACTTGCTCTGCGAGGCTGGCTGTGTGTCTCTGGCCAAGGCAAAAGCGATGTGGGTATTTCCAGGTTATTGTAGAATGGTTCAACTCGCGGATTGAGCTGATGGAAATGCAAATTGGGAGGGATCGCTTTGTTTTGAATTGCCAACGAGGCTTTGATCAGTCCTGCCAATCCAGCACAGCCTTCGAGATGACCGATGATGGTCTTGATGGAGCCACAATAAAGAATGTCATGCTCCTTGTGCTGCCCATTGGGGAAGAAGGCATCTCTGATTGCCTGGGCTTCAACAGGATCACCGGCCTGGGTGCCGGTGCCATGACACTCAAAGTACTGACATCTATCGGTCATGGGGTCCAAGCCTGCTACCCTATATGTTTCTCGGATCAGGGCGGCTTGTGCTGTTGGAGTTGGCATGGTGATTCCGTTACTGCGGCCATCAGAGTTGACGCCCGTTGCTCTGATAACACACTCTATATTGTCGCCATCGGCGATTGCCTTACTGAGCGGCTTCAGCACCACAGCAGCGCAGCCCTCACCTCGAGCATATCCACTAGCGTCTTTATCCCACATACGAGAGTGAGAATCTGAAGAAAGCATGTGCATGGACGACTCGGCAATGTACCAAATCGTGTCCATGAGCAAATTTGTTCCGGCCACCACAGCTTGAACAGCCTCGCCCAAGTGAAGGCCTTGAATGGCAAGGTGGAGGGCGACCAGTGAGCTCGAGCAAGCCGTGTCAAGTGTCATGGACGGTCCTTGGAGATTAAAGGCGTAAGATATGCGATTGGACAAGATGGCCCGAGATAACCCGGTAGCCGCGTGACTCCCCAGCATATCCGGGTCTCGGGATGAAATCAGGGTATAATCGTCTGTCATGACTCCAACATGCACCGACGTTGGCGAACCGTCAACATGGTTGAGAGACCACCCCGCCGACTCGAAGGACTCATAGACCGTCTCCAAGAGCATCCTCTGCTGAGGATCCATATCAGCCGCCTCCTTGGGGTTGATACGAAAGAAGGCAGCATCGAAGTGCCGAACATCTTCTTCCAGTAAATATGATTTGTGATGAACATTTGTGCGGCCGTGCGTTTCGCCGTTGTCGTTGTAAAAGTTTCCCATATTAAGTCTTTCTAATGGGAAATCTTTGACGACATCTCTAGGCTCTTTCAACAGGTCCCATAGCCTAGACGGCGAATTTGCTGCACCAGGGAATCGGCATGCCGTCCCTACAATCGCCACGGGCTCATACATGATATGACGGAGTCAGGATTAAGCTGAATGATGCTGAGTGTTAGTCCTTGTTGTCTTGGATGAAAATATAAAGAGGATGGTCTTCAATAATAACGAAACTTGCTCTAAAATTCTTGTCTCTACTTATAATGGTGAATTTGAAATCAAAGTGAGCCTCAATTTGGTCAACAGATAGAGGCACCCCTATCCGCATGCTCATACTTGTTACTAAACCTGAAGAAGTGGCCTGAACGTAAAACAGCTTGCCACCTCGCTCGGTCTTATCGGATCAAAGTCACAGCTCTCTCTTGTAATTCTATACATATTTAACGAAACAACCGGGGTCTTACTGAAGAGGGCCACGGTTATCTCTGGACAATGTCCCGAAGACCACAATTTCGTACTCTTCAGGCATTGCGGCCGATGTATCACTATAACCAGCCGCCATAATACAAGAATCAGCACTACGGTTACGGGGGTTGTTTCGGCCGCGGACTCTGGGCCTTCGTAGATGGATTTATTTCCTGGCGGATGACGTGAGACTGGCTTACATGGAAAGGAAAGATATGCGTCTATCTCCCTGGAAAGGTGACCCACGGTATGTCGTATGACATTATATGTCGATGTCAGCTCAAACATATAGAGGGAGACACCGCAGCTCTTAGTACGCGCGAGGTTGGTGCTGCCGTTGGCGATGTGCCATTTGTTATCAATATGAAAGCGTCTTTGGATGTAGAAGCAAGTTCCGGCTGACCCGACCTGAGCCTCAATTGAGCCCGAGGCTACATCCTTTGTCCCCCCGAAGTTGCATCCCTAGAGTCGGTAATGCAACCCAAGCTGCTTTTGGAAACCTCTGACCACTTCTCGTCAGCGAGTGACGGTATAGGTGTTGGGCATTTTGGATATTCTTGAATTGAAGAGTCAGGCTATCGCGAAGCTATTTAGCAGTGTATCTATTCAGGAGTCAGGCGGCAATGGCAGAAAGAGAGTCCACCCGTTGGATATCGGACATGATGTGGTCAATTGATGCCAAGATAAAAAGGCATCAGTGTAAATCTAAGTACGTCTAAAAGAGGGAAACGTCACTATCCATCCAATTCACCGCTCAATGAGCTACATGACCCAAGACCTCCAACGTTTCGAGGCATCTTCTAATCGCTTTCGAGATTTCGGGTATATATTGAAATGAAAACATGCCGAAGTGGTCGCCCTGTACATCCATGACCTCGGTAAACAGGTCCTTCTCATAGTTATCCCATCCCAGAGTCTGATTGTCTCGATAAATATCTGCAACATGTACCCTACCAGTGACTGTTGGTATTGGGTCGAGAGCTCGCAGCAACGAAACCCGAGGCCGCTGGTCACGTTGGGTACCAGTCCAAACGGGAGGATCCCATTGACGGATGATTCGAATTGCTTCTTTCATGGCCTGTATGCTTAGAAACATATTTTTTGATTTTCCCGGGTCCAGGTTATCGAGAGCGTCGAGAGGAAGCGACGGCGGATCAACCGTGTACATACTATCCATCATCAACACGCCAATGACTTTGACTCGGCCGTCGCCAGTGAGCAGCTTTGCAATTTCCAGACTCAAGAGACCGCCCATGCTCCACCCGCCGATGAGGATATTCACACTTCGGTCCAAGTTGCGCTCGGCCGGGAAGTCAGGCCGGGCGCAAGTCCGTCTGATGATTCCGGTATACAGACGTGCCATTCCTGACACGCCGCCCTCAAATGTTTGTCCGTTGCGAAAATGGGGATTGAAAATACCATAAGTCGGCCTACACAGAGAATCTAGGCAATGGTAGGCGAATGTAGTACCGCCACCGTCATGAATAAGGAAAACAGGCACCGGCATGTTTCGTGCGTCATCACCCATCCAGTTCCCGTCCTGAATGAGCTCGGGATTTTTGTCCATGGTTTAGCTGCTTTGTCTTTCGGCTTGGTTTTGCTTGACTATGAATAGTGGGCAGAGGGAAGACGGGGGGGGAGGAAAAGTCAAGAGCATGCGAGGGAGAGCGAGATGGAACCTTTCTCTGATATTGTCTTGTCGGTAGGCTCTTCGTATAGGAGCCAACAAGGCAGAAGCCTCATGATGGTGGTCAGACGTGCTTACTCGATCGTCCCATGTCCATCTATTACTACATGTATTGATGATGATGGATTTAACTCTCTAGCGTCCCTTCGATGACCCTACCGAAGGCCGGCTTGAAACACCAAATTGCGAGGTTCGCGATGCTAAACACGTGAATGGCACAAGTGCTTGCCAACGTTTCGTATTCCCTCTACTCGGCCACTAATTTTATTCCCGGTTTGCCTAATAAAGTACCGGGACCTGCAGCCGACCAGCCTTGTTATTAGCCACCAGTTGTCGTGCAATGGATTTTGACACTACATGCAACAGGCGGGGTGGTTCGGGTCCAGATCCGAGATGTATGTGATCTGCAAAGTTAATTTCCCGCGTCCCGGAGCTCCGTCAGTCCATCAGCCGCGCTGCCGCAACCCCTACTTACGGCCAGGGCATTTCGAGCATCGGTCGTGGAAATCGCGCCTCCGGGAATTAGAAAAGACGCCGAAACGCCACCGCGACAAAGTCACACGCCTCCATCACGGAATCTGTTCGATCCTTATCCAAAAGTCGCAACACCGACAACCAGCTAACCACACACACTGCTTGGAAATCTTGGAGGCCCCTTCATTGCCGAGGGTGGTCAGAAATTCACCCAACAGCTGCTTGATTGGTAAGCCAGCCTCCTGCTGCACAAACAGTATAGTCAAATTCTATTCTGGCTACAAGTAATCTTGAGGCTTCTTGGTGTGGAGCTTGAAAGATTGACGTGTTGCATTTGCTACACATGGAAGAAACTAAGGTGTAGCAGGCGACACGTAAGCGTCAGCCCAAGTGTTGAAATCGGACAGCGCGGGACCGACACAATTTCCCATCGTCGAACCTTATACTTGGACACGCAGTTTTCTGGTCGTAGCCATTACAAGTGCGCCGTGGACAGATTTCCTCCACGGGAAGGCGGCACAGTTTGGCGTGCTGGCCGGTCAAACGCCCAAGCCTGGCGTTGGGCAAGTAGCAAAGGGTGGCGTAGCATTGATGAGCAGTCGAAAGTGTTTCCGGTGGCTGTGACATGTGAGAGATGTCGACCACAAGAGGCAAAATTTACCTTGTGGTTAGCAATGTGTTCATCATGCCACCTCTTGCCGTACTTCTGATAGCATGTCCACAATCTTTGGCCACCGGAATTTGTTTGTGCAACAATCCATCCAATAGCCTCCCTCGGCGCTTTTCCCAAGAATCACTACGTATTCGTACGTGTTGATTCCGGAAAAATGACTCTGCACATAGGACGGTCGGCCGCTCTGTTCAGTCGGCTGTCCCTTGTCCGAGACGGGCGCTACAATGGCCGACGAAAAGTCCACCTCAAAGAGCTTCGCCTTGGACCAATTGGAGAAGGTGACGAGGTGCATTCGGTGGTTCCCAAACAGGGGGGGAAGTCTCTGCCAGGACTGTCTTGTCAACGCGACAAAGGCTTCGACCTGCTCTCGCGTACCAAGATTGATGATGGAGCGACGCACCTGTGAAGCCAGGTGGCCAAGGGGCTTGGTGACTATGTCCTTCACAGACGTCAGAGCAAAGACTAGGCCTGTAGAGTTTGAGAGAAACGGCTGACCACGAGGTAGCAAATCCTCGGCCAAGACGGTCCTCAGGGACATTGCATTCACCAGCGCTACAATCTTTCCCGGGTAGTTTCTCATCAGAGAGGTTGAGAGATGGGCCCACCAGGCGCATAGCATGTCTCCTTCACTCACAAACATGTTCTTGTCGTCATCTTCATTGTTCGTGGCTAGGCCCTCAAGTGCCTTTTCTCGAAGCGATTTCATATACCAGCCAGGGATGTAGAGTATGCGATGCTGCGGCTTGGAAATGAGAGACCAAAACCAAGACTGCAACCAGTGAAATAAGACGGAAAGCAAAGACATTCGGTGATGCCGGAGGAGGTGCGGTTCTGACGGATGACGGCCTAGCTCTGCCAAGGGATCGCTGGTAGTTTCATGTGGCGCTTGAATGTCATCAGGTTGTGGGCGTAGCATCAAAGTCCACGCATTGACGAAATCCACCAGTCCCATAATATCGAACAATACGTGAGGCCATGATATGGCCATTGTCGTTGCGTCAGTGAACTTGGTTATACGTAGGGCTAGAAGAGGTTCGTCGGCATAGAAGTAATCGTCCAGCTTCGCAGGACCAGCAGCATCGTGCCACAGGCTCTCAAAACGGACGGGATCAACCACGACGGCCAGGTCCTTACTCATCTCTGGCAGCCGTGACGCGACCGAGTGCTCCGATCTCTTCACAGCGTGATCAACTACCGAATATCTCATGGCTGGGCGGTCGAGGCCAAACAAGGCAGGAATGTGGTACTCCAGACATCCGTTGGTCTACAGGAAACACTGTAAGCAAGAATTTGCTTTAAAAAAATTGGTGCAGGTTGGGCTTCTTACATTGAACCGCAACCTGGCCCCAAGTTTGCGCCAGCCCGGCCGCTCAATGACCCTTTCGAAGGCGCTTCTCAACTTTTCTGAATCGAGGACATTGTCTATAACAAACATACAGGTGACGATACCCTCGTTGCGGTATACAATGTTGTCGTCCAAGTCTCCCACCATTACAATGGTATCGGTTGGTATTTGGGGCCGGGGGAGTCTTCTTCCCGTGAGATGAAGCATTTTGGTAGTTGCATATACCGTAGCGGCTGCGACAAGGAAGCGGAAGAAGATGAACAAGTTCGATGTTCTTGATTAGAACGTAAAGGCGGGTTGGAGCTACGCAATTACCGAGTACATAACGGACATTGAGTCTGGCTCGGCCGAAGCTCGCGTCTAGCGGATTTGGATAGAGTTTATGACTGTGCTCCTCGAACTCATCACTTATGGATGGTTGAATTTACTCCAACCCTTAAAAGAAGGAGGGAGGGTCGATGTAGCAATTGAACAAGGCGGACGAATTGATGGAGAGGCTGCCCGATGGCATATAAATCCAACGTCAGCACTTGTTAGCACTGCAGATCAATTGATACTGCACTTTGCATGCAACGAGACGCGTAGGTGACATTCGTGCCTCAAATTCCTCAGTCTCATGCCCTTCGATGTTGCTGGTTGCGGTGACGACTACTTTGGGTTTATTCCGTCTCGACGCACCAAGCGTCTACAATATCCTGCTCCTGGCTGCCTACATTCCTGGCTATATGTAGCAGCAGTGTAACTTGGCAGAACATTGATTGATTGATTGCACTGCCTATCCCAGTACCCTGTCATCTCTCTACCGAGTCGCGAGGTCACCGTCAAGCCATTGAGTGCACAGGGCTCAAGACTTGTAGCACTGCTTCAACCCATTTTGCATTGCAACACCACACCACTCTGCCGTCTGACCAAACATAGGGCCCTCCAAGGTGATATTTGCCTTGACGACCAGTCATGTCGACCCGCCAATCTGCCTTGGTAACAGGCGCCAGCAGGGGAGGCCTCGGTGACGCCCTTGCACAAGAACTACATGCAAGAGGGTTTAGAGTCTTCGCCACAGCCCGGACACTGTCCAAAGTCCAGCACCTGAAAGATCTTGGGATGGAGGTTGTCAAGATGGACGTTGCAGACTCGACGTCGATTAGAAATGCTGCTGCACAAGTCGCATCTCTCGCTGGAAACAGGCTAGACATCCTCATCAATAATGCCGGAACTGGTGCGTAATAGGCAGTCTCTGAAGGCCAATTTGTGTTACTAAATAGGTCTTCTAGGGTACCAATCTACGCTGTTAGATGCTGACATTGAAACTGCGAGGCAGTTGTTCAATGTCAATGTATTTGGTGTGCTGGACGTCACCCAGGCGTTTGGCCCGCTGTTGATTGCATCCAAGGGCATCATTGTGAATGCTGGCTCCGTCTTGGGCACGGTTCCAATGCCATTCTGTGGTGTTTACAACGCTAGCAAAGCGGCTCTGGATTCCTTGTCAAAACAGATGCGAATCGAGCTCGCTCCCTTTGACATTCGCGTTATACACGTATGGCACCGCCGCACCTGTGATTCCGTCCGCCATTTTCTTTTGTCTGCCCTTTTTTTTGCGTTTCCTTTTTTCCCCTGTCCTGGCAAGCGTGTAGGCTGAGTGGGTTACAGGTCAATGCCGGCGGCATCCAGTCGGATTTTCTATCCCATGCTGCTGGTCCGAAGGGTCTTCCTGACAAGTCACCTTACTATGCCGGACACGGCGTTCTAAATCCGTGGATCAGTGGGGAAATAACTCGTAGGAAGTATCAGCCCAGTAGGCACTCAGCTAGGCAGCGACTGGCCGCTTCATTTCAATGCTGACGTCGGGTTAGCGAGACGGCAAGATTACGCCAAAAGCGTCGTGGATGCCATCGTCAAGCATAATCCCCCATCCTGTTTGTGGACAGGTTATTCCGCCTGGGTTATCTGGTTTACCACTAGCTTCCTGTGGCGGGATGCAACAGTACGTTGCTGGTTCCCTTTGTCTTGGTGTATTTCAGCACTAACTAGAGCCAAGGATTTGATGATGTGGGCAATGGGAGCGCCAGATATAAAGGTAGCCATCTCCTCCAACGAGTAAATGTGTAGTATGTAAAGCAAAGACAGTCAACCTTTACGAAATACTTTGACACCCAAGTTAGGCTGGATCCTAGTTGTAGCATGCTAAAAGAAGAAACCATCACTTTTCAACTCAATGGCTCCTGGATGTGTGGATACAAGAGGCACTGGGGCCCTGTTTTTTTATTTTATTTTTTAAAAGTTTATGATATTTATATATAACGTGTTAGCCTTTCTAGATATACGCATAATATGCGGCTCGCAATTATCGGCCTGTAGCTTTTTTATTTGTTTGACTGGCCTATCCGGCCCTCAAGCTGTCTAGTTACCGCAAGACTAGTCGATCGGAAGCAGCTCCGCAACTTGCTAATCAAATGCGTAATAATAGATGCCGTGCTATCGATTTCTTGGTGTACGGTGCATGCCGCATCAAGACATCGCGCAACTTCGTCCATGGAGCCGAGGGTGCCATGCCAACATCCCAGCATCAACTCGCGCAGTGGCAGCTGGTCAACAGCAGGAAAGCGTTGTTCAGCGTACAGCTGCCGGACTGTCTCATCTCGTTCCAGGCAGTCTTTGAGCTCATGGTAGGGAGGTTTGCCGGTCAAGATTTCGAATACGGCGCAGCCAAAAGCAAAGATGTCAGTCTCCAAACTCGGACACATGGATCCTCGGCGATTGTACCAGTTGTAGCCTGCAAGTGCTTCGCTACCATCAATGCTGCATCCTCCAAAATCGATGACTTTGACGCGATCCTCGACTAATATCATGTTTGTACAGCCAAAATCAGCGTGGACGATTCCGCTCCGATGGATATGTCGTAGCCCTTCTGCAGCGGCTCTTATCCATTGCAGCTTTTGTTCGAGTTGAGCTTTCGTCCCCGTCACATTCGAGAGGGGTTGTCCTCGCTCGAGAATGATGGATTTGTTGTTAGGTTCGCCGAGACACTGCACAATGTTGCGATGCAAGCCGAGTCGACTGAATGCGCGGCGTTCAATGGCGATGCCTTGGTCAGTTTCATCGAAATATTCCTTGAGGACGGTTGCCTCATCGATGCCGTACACGATTGCTGATCCGCCAAAGCCAATTATCGTCAGGCTACTATAGTCGATAGATTGACAAGCACTGTGCGAGTATTGCATTTGAAGCTCGAAACCTGAATGTCGTGAAATATCCTATAAACCAAATGCGGTTGAGGCTTGCGTGGTTTTGCAAAAAGTCAAGTCTAGCCTGGCTGAACTAGATACAAAAATGCGCTGACTAATAAACCAGGTCAAGAACTGGGTTATCGCAGCGAGGTCCTGGTTTCGGCCGGTCCTTGCACCTCTTGTACAGAAGCTTCCAGTCTCTACCCTGTGTTGGGCAGTCAACATGAATGGCCACCGCTGTGGTGTATGCACACATGGTGCAGGAAACTCTTGTTTCCCGTGTATTCTAGATGGATGGAACAGTGGTGAGAATGTGAGTAACTGGCAGTATTCTTTAGTCGAGCTTTTTATGCGGGCGACTCGCAGGGTTTTATCGCTTAACCGTGGGCCTTGGGCGTGAACCATGGCCTAACCATCAGGCAGCTTCGGCTTGGGTCCTCTTTGTACCATCAAATAATTCTTGGGCGCTTACTGGTACATGGGCCGTTTCACGTTGGAGGAGTAACTTGACCTGACTGGAACATTCACTGGCCAACTGCAGCCATGGTCTGCAACCCGCTGGGAGCTCAAGCCGCATAGCTGCCAAAGTCAAAATCGTCAAGTTACAACAATGACAGCAATTGACGTATTGCAGCACGTATTTAGGCTGGCTGTATAACTGCAAGTATTTTGGCCCGGATGTATTCTCGCCGTTGGCCAGCACGCATCGACTCTGGATTCCCGCTGTTCTAAGTCTCTCGCCATCCTATTGATACGATATGCTGTGGCCATCCCGGCTCAAAATTCGACTACTATCTACGCAATTTAGTGCTGGCGTATCGCCAGAGCGCCACTCGGATTGACTCTCATGTAGTAACGGCGCTCGATCGTTTAAATACATGGTAGAATTCTCCGTGATACTTGGTGCCACCGTACTTCAGACGCCTCTGCGGGATAGCATCTCACAATATACTTTTGGATTTGCCAAAAGAAGCATCTACCTCTCCAAGCCTATTGAGTCCTTCACTAGGTATTCTACTCTGATCGTGTACCCAGGATGAGACGCATCGGCTTCCTCCTCCGGAGAAACGGACGAGACCCATCTCACATTGTATATTAGTGGTTTCCCCCCTCAGGAGACTATTTGCTGACTTTGGACAAAACCGGCCATTGCGGAGGCAAATCGTTCTCCGCGTTCAGGGTTAGCCATGAACCATTGATACGGAGAAGCGCCAAATCTAAGATTAAAGGCGCTATGAGTGGCATGAGATGCGAATGGCTCCTTTGCAATCGAAGCGGCTGTTAAGGAAGAAGCTTCGAACATTTCGTCTGCCCTACAGCAAGCTTGTGAGTCATCGGGCCAGGGTAAAGGCGAATACTTAGCTCAAGTGACTTAGTGAATTGCCAATGCCGACGTTATATTCCTTTCCTGGGCGATAACTGCGGACATGGCGGTGTGCTCATATACGTCTTCCTTTACTTCTTGAAAACAGCGCTGTGAAGCCAACAACTTCATGATACGCCGTGTGCGATCGACATCCATTCTCGAGGCGGAAGCTATATCTTGTATCATTATAGGTCGGTTAAGGGGAACAATAGTAATGTAACCGAAGCGCAATGCAGCCTGCCAGGCGCCTAAATCATGATGAGAGCAAAAGAAGATGCGCAACCATCGCATTGGTCCTTGAGATAGGAGAATTAGGTCTTTTGCAATTTGACTCAGATCGGTACAAATATCGTCGTATTTCTTGTCGGCTAGGTAGGCAGGGGAAAATGCCGTGAAATTGGGTACATCGATCCCATGTGTCTCCAGGTAATCAACAAGTGCTTCACTCTGTCTAAGCGTCTCGCGGGCTTTCTGCAAAATCAGCGACTAGAATCGCACAAGTAAGCTTCTCAACAACATTAAAATTGGTGCTGAGGGCAGTATTTGAACCTTACATTCTTGCTGGGGGCGTTTATCTTGACTGACGGTTTGGTTTGTTTGGTACCTATATTTGTGGGATAATAACTTACTCTGCCCACACAAGGCGTTTATGCGTGCATGGAAAAGCAAGGTGCTCAGTGTAGTGCTTATAGAAGAAGCAGGGCACAGGTTTTCGCCGGCGAGTGTTACAGTAACCCAAGTTATCATTGAAGTGAGGCTTTGTCCTCCCCCTCTGTATTGGCATTGCGTGAGATGCACCGACTTACCCGTGCCTTGAAAGCAGGATAGAAGGCAAGCCAAGAGAGGGTTTTGTTTCACAAGGTCGCTACATGTGTAGTCTTCACAGATCAGATTGCCACCTAACTATGTTGTGAGGCTACCGAAGCGATGGATTCGAGTGTCAATTCCACCCTCGTCGCCGAGCGGTAATACAATGTCTTACCCGGCCAGTTTAGGAAGCTCATTTTTGTCCATCTGCTTTAATCACTCTTGTACGTCGAGTAATCAACTGAGTTACTGTGCAAGCAACTATTTGTGTGGGAGCCAACCGCTATCCCCCGCACATGGCACGCCTTGCTGGACTTAATGGAGCTGTCAAGCTCTGCGTGTAGGCTTATACGCCTTCATCGTAAAACGGGATATTCTCCCTCTAATTCGTTCCCGCATATTTCTCATATGCATACGCTTATTATATTATCCCTTGCCATTTTTCTAGTCCTCCGTCGCACCGCCCAGGTTATCAAGTCACCAGAAACAGAAGACCCTACGGCGAACACGGCAAGACAGTAACCATGGGCGGTGGTGATCTTTTGAAAATGGTGACTGATGCGCTTTGGGCTGCTAGAAGACAGATCACTACTAGCGTCTGCGAATGTACAAGTCTCCTGGGACCTTGTCTAGGTGGCGGACACGGTATTCTTTAAGCTCGCCACGGACTTGTTGCAGACCGGTTGATATTCATCAACGTGGATAAGGCTGACGGCACTTTGCAAAGCATTGATGCCGAGTCCGATGCTCGACTTTGATGGGCCATGAAGGGTGCTGGACACAACTTTGGAATAGTCACTTCTGTCAGCTCCGAGATCTACAACGTCGCCTATAGGGACTGGGAGTGGCAGACAATTATCTACTCTGGAGATCAAAACTACTTATTCTTCTTCAACAGCCCTCATCTTGATCCTGAGAGGGCTTGTCCAATCTCCGCTTTTCCGCTAGCATCCAAGATTATAATGCTAAAGCGTGAGAGGCGGCGTATAACTTATTTTTATCTACAATATAACGCATTTAGTAAGTCTTTGTGTTTTCCTTTTTGAAGGCTACTCTGCGCAAGGTACCAAGGCTATTAATGACGCGTAAATAATATATTACGGTCTAAGAGCACGAATAAGGTCTAGTACGACTTAAATAAAGCGATTGTTTAAACGAGAGTTAGAGCTTTTAAAGGAAGCTCTAACTCGAGCTACCTAAGTTCTAAAGTAGGGCTGTTCCCTTACACAAAAACTAAAGTCCTAGCACTTTACGATCCGTCCTAATACCCTGAAACGCAAGTACCCAGATCTTAGTTCATACTAATAGACTAAGTTAAAGTACGGTCCCAAGAAGCAGCGAGACTCACGGGGATTAAGTGCCTTGTCTCTCACGCACACTAACCCCCCATTTCGAGAACAATTCCACGGATAGCCCCATCGTCTTCCGGCGACATCGTATTTATTATGTCACTGGGACAAGCCGCACGCACACTGTTGTAGTGCGCTTCGTAGCATTGGTGTGCGCTTCGCTGGTCCAAGCAAGTCACGTAACCCTTTAACGCCCCCCGACACCCAGGGTAATGATTGTTTGGCCCGCCAGGAGAGCCATCCGCCGCGATAGCTGGCTGTGCAGCCGAAATCAGGAACACAACTCCGCAAAGCTTAGAGAAGAGGAACATGTTGAGTTGATACTGTATTGGCTCCTAGCCTGGGTACTCTTGAAGTTCTTTTGAAAATAGAAGCGGATCTTAAAAGTGCGTTAATAGGAATAATTCCGAATTCAAGGTTTTTAGGGTAAGAGTTAGAGTTAGAAATCTCACAGAAAAGGGTAGAGTTAACTTGTAGAAGACTATAAGCGATAGTGCACTAGAAGATTTCCTTAGAAAACCGCCAGTTTCGCCGTGTGTAGCTTATTAGGGTAAGAAGTGTTAGGGAACGCGGGGGGAAGGTACGCCTTATATAGACAATTTAGGCGGGAAGAGCCTTCCCTGCCCGTCTTATCTTATCTTTTTAAGCAGCAACTTTACTATATGCCTCTTTGTGATAAATTTAGCATAACCAGTTTGAAAGTGATTTATGGCATGTTTATAGTGGGGGAGGGAGGGGGGTTCTACATGTAAGGACAAGGCATCTCCACAAGAACCTAGAAGTACCCTAGTATAACCCTGTAAAATGCTGAAAGATATATCTAAATGGCCTGATACTAGCTATTAACTAGCTAGGTTATCTGGTCACTGACCAAGTTATTGAACTGCCGATTCCAGCTGCCGAATTTGCAGGAACGCAGCTAGAGTTCTTCGCTGATGTCCGTGGAGATTAATGGACCTCGGCGCTGCACTTTGTCCGGCTTGTATAAGTTAGATTTATTTCGCCTAAGTTGCCACACGCAACTATATAATTGCAATCTCGGGGCTTGTTTCTCTTTCCCTTTCCTCCTTTATTTTATCCATTTTTCAGCGCGTGAAAATGCGACTTATAATAATACAAAATAAGATTAAAATTAGAATTTTAAGCCTGCACAATTATTTGAGTAACTGGCCTTTGCCACACCTTAGTAGCATGGATGCAGGATTCTGCGTCAACTAATACTAATTATAGATTGTAACTTGCCTCCCTTGACATGAAACCCTGACAGGGAGGCATAGCTTAGCCGCCAGCTCGTATAGCAGGGTTATTAGGCTGCCGTCACGCTACCGCGTCCCGGCGCTGGCGCAATTCAGCTGGGTGCTTCGCAGGGATTCCACGCGTTCTCACCGAGTTCACGATTAGGTAGCTTTCACACTTATACCTCAAAATACGTAAGCGCGAAACAGATAAATCGGCTATAGTATATTGCTCTATTAATTATACCTACTAATCCCCGTTGCTAGGGGCTTATTATCTCAACTCGGCACCTTCTAACAAGAGAAGGTCTGGCTGGAACGACAAGTTGGCAGGCTACGCTTAGCTCGGCAATAAGTGCCTCGCGGCCTTGTTATTAGACCGCCTTATACTTACAACGGTATTAGCGGGGACAATAATACTTTGTCGTATAGGCTTGTAAAATAGCTCTGGTTCGCTCTAGGATCAGGCACCCTAGGATCCCACTCTTAATAAATATCACCTCGTCCATGTCCTATATAACCGCGACTTATATACCACGACTACTAGCGCTGTCTATTGCACTAGCAACACTAACTTGGATTGCGCTGCTACCTGTGAGGGTTTCACGTCAAGGGAGGCTTAGTAAGAGTATTTAAGTAAATTATATTTCTAGGCTAAGTTTATACTGGATTTAATATATAAAACGTAGTGCAAGTAAGTAAGAGAAATATTAAAAAAGCAGCTTCCTTGCAATCAAAATAAGAAAGGAGTATCACGTGCGTGCGCCGGGACCCACTGATATAACACGCGAAATATTACCTTTTCCTATTCTGATACCAAGTGGAGACGTGTTAAAGCAGATAAAAGCCTACAAAAAATTCCAATTCAGAGTCGTAGCCTCACAGTAAGGTCCTATTAGCTAGCACTATACGAATAACGTCATGCAAAATCATCGACCTATATGCTTTAAAATGTACAAGACGCCCCATATATACTAGCCTAGTAGCAAACAAATAACTTACAAGTTGTTGGCTGATAATAGCGTCGCTCCAGTTTCAAAAACCATGCCCTAATTCCCAGGTCATGATTTTCGTGTGATTCATGGTTCTAGTTTTAGTATAATCATGCCAGAATGCATTAATCTATCTCGTTCCCAAGCGGCTAGACAGGATTTGTGCCCCTCCCCCCACTTCTTTTTTTGGTCAAGTCTTATTATACAGGGCTAGAGAGCGGGTAGTTTAATGCGAATCCTGGGCGGGGTAGGACGTACAAACAAAGGTGTATAATTCGAAGCGGTATTTCATAGGGTACTTGGGGGGGGGCGAGCTAATCTATTGTACCAGACTGAAGGGTCCTCTTTGTACAGTACTTCCAAGGTCGCTGCCCTTGCTGCATAAACTGCTCATGTGCACCTAGCACTATTGGAGATCCTATATAATAAGAACAGCTCAACCCACCCTTAAGCCCAAGGATGTAATGCTAAAAACCATGCTTCTCTAGCCACTGTATTAATTCCGCTTCCGTATTTACCCGCATCTCTGCTCGTTTCTTATCGTCAAACTGCTTGAGAATGGATTCGTTGCCAAGTTTATATGGACAAAGTAGTGCTTGCAAGTGGAGGAGATTGCGGATCTCGTCCACACTACGAATATAACACGGAGACACCACCCCACACTTCTTTATTGCCGTATTCCACGCCTTGGCAACTTGCCACTGCTCGACGGATTTCTTATCTAGGTTAGGGGGTGGCCATGTAAAGTCTCCAGAGAGGATTGCCGCCTCGATCTCCTTATCCTCTTGGCGTATATTCCCACCGACGTCTTGAAGGCTACACATGAACTCGTCAAGAGGGTTGGAGATGTAAGACCAGTCAAAGTCAAGGATAGCTGTTAATTTCTTAGTATCCTTGTCGAATAACATATTGTTCGTCGCTGTGACGTTGTCAGTCAACAGATAGCTACCCTGAAACGGTGTATACATACTGAAGTCTCCGTGTATCAAGTTCTTTTGATGCAGGTCAACATCGCTGAGAATTTCCCCAGGGCTATTAGCGGCAAGGAACTTTTCAATCCTCGCGTCTACACTATTATACTTCCAGCCCCGAATCACCGGGCTCTGGGCGGCTTCTTGGAGTTGCCCGCGTAGTTTGCTAACCTTCCATTCGGCATATGATTTTACGGGTTCGCCTGCGCGGAGAGGCGCCTCCACTCACAATTCGTCCTTCGGAGTCAAATATAACCCCGCCAAATTTTGTAGCGCCTTCTGGCAATTCGGCCGTCTGAATTGCTTTCAGAACCTTAGCCATCTACTCCAGGATCTGCTCCTTATCCTGCATCTTGAGTGACGAGAATTCAGAGTCCAAGTCAACACCAGTTCTTAGTTCAGATATAATCCACCCGAAACTCTTTTTATTGACGGCATTGGTGATTGTGGTTGGCATCCAGGCGTAAATAGCTGGGACTAACTGGGGGAGTCCGGCATGCGCCTGGACTGGCGAACAAGATGCTGCACCGCTACGTCATTCTCTACGCGGTTGGTATTGTTAATTCCAGTGGCAGCTGGGTTGCTAAGCTTGATAACAATAACAGATATGCCATCAGAGGGGGCCTGAGTAGTGCCAGGCTGCGTGCCTGGGAACGAGGAGGATAGGGCTGGAGTTGCTAGCTCTACTTTAAACAGGTAGTTATTGAATGGGTACAGGTATTCTTCGCTGTATGCCAGAGTCGAGATATTCAAAGCCTACAAGAAACGCAATTAGCGAATGGGCAGTCAAATTCTGCCTCGTGGCAACAACATTCACTAACCCGGAGGTCATGGCTTTGCAGGATTTGCTCAACCACAGCAAGCCGCCGCTGAAAGCCCCGTTAGTTGACATTAAGAACCATGTTTAAGCGAAGACACTAATGTAAATAACAGGAATCTGAAAAGAAAATAGGGTAAATCTTGCACATACAAAGAAGAAGGTAAATTGGGAGGGATTAATTTGAAACGACGCAAGATGGTAGGCTTATAAGCGCGCTCGCTCCACTTGACCCCTCATCTACTTCATCGCCCGAGGCAGCCTGATATACGGCAATACAAGGATAAGTATACATTGTCATCGTTAGCACTCTATTACGGTGCTGAAATCTAGAAAAGATCCCGCTCTGGATGGGTCCGGGGCGATGAGATTCGTGATTCCCTGCAGGCATCCAGCTAGAGTGCGTCCCTTGTGGCGCTGACGGATCCTTTGTAACTAACACACCGTTGCATTTATTATGTATTTAGCCTTGAGCAGCAGGAGTTGCAGGCCTGGGCCGAAATCGATGGAGTTGGGTGGAGCAAGAGAACATGCATCCCTGAAGTCGTGTTCTATTGAACGGGCAAATACTAGGCAGCGCTATTAGTACTTTCGGGGGTGCTAATAATTTTTCGGAGGTGAGATTGACATGACTTTTATTTTTACATGTAAGATAAACAATTAGAGTGCCTCGCGGAAGACCATGAGAGTAACGTATCACCAAGTCCACGCCAGCAGAAGATCAACTAATGCAAAACCGTTATAAAGGTCTTTAGCTATCGCCTCTCTAGCTATATAGCGTAAACTGTTTCACTGAGAGGTTACATATATTTAGAAATTCAAGCAATAATAACTTCTGCTTGTTTTGCGCACAGTTGCGACTAGAAGCATAATAGTAGCTGGAGTTCACCAACTCCTTACCACACGTGAACACCCCCTAGTGCGTCCAATCCTAGCCGCACTGCGACCTGAATTGGAAAAGGTAATGAGACACTGCATCTACGCTACTAATATCCCAAGTCCCAGACCTAATTGCTCCCTATGCCCTCGTAATCCACTGTGTCAATAGGCTCATTCAAATCAGGGTGTGCTGGCTCACGCCATCAAATATATTCCTAACGATTAAGGGGTAAGTTAGTAGCCAGATAGCGAATGTCTTGCAACGAAACTTGCCTCTAAAGCAGGGAAGGACGGTGCGTACCAAGCAGTGAATAGTGTGCGCATTCAGGTCGCGCGTCATCTTGTTGCCGCTACCAGTAATGTGCCAAGCGAGAATTATTCGGAGGTTCGCGAGACAATAAAGTTTGTGGAATGTACTCTGCGTAAAACCGAATCTATTAGACTGGCCACATTTAATAAAATTTAGCTTGCCAATAGCTTGGTTACTAGTCCAGAAGTCTCCGTGCTTCATTGAGGAATTCCAGTAACCCGTCAAGTACTCATCGCCGTGCGATCCAATTTCTTTCTTAGTGAGTTCCGGCTTGCCAAGGATTCGATGGGCAGTGTTAATCCTTTCAATAGCTTCTAGGTCAGGTTATCGCGGATTAATAGACTGCTATATACGTCGATGCTGCGTCCTTCAACTACTTTAGGATAGGCCACAGTTCCAGCACGGGTATAGACCTCTTCCCGGAAGTCCTCGGTATTGGCGTTACTTTGTCGTTCAGGATATGTCATAGTCCCAGCACGAGTGTAGGCCTCTTCGCGGAAGTCCTCGGCGTTGCCTCGTTTGTTGACAACCATCTTACTTACGGTATCACGAGGAGCTGGGAGCGTCATTCCAAAAGCCTGCAAAAGATCAATAAGTGAGAGGTCTAGGGCCTGTTGCTCAATATTAATGCTAAAAAGCGGTTAGCTTGTCACCGCATTATAGTATCATTTCGGAAATCTTGGCCCGGATAACTCTCGTCGTCTAGATGCTGCAGACCTACGTCAAGCCGGCGACGAGTGTCACTGGATAGAGTGTTCTGCCAATTATCAAGCCCGCGAGCCGGCACGATAGACACAATAGGCGTACCAGACGTAACTGGGATAGGTTGAACATTATCAATAAGAAAGGACGCAAATACGCCATAAGCAGTCAGTTTAAGCATGGTGAAGATTGATCGCGTTGTATAGAATATTTTGGATAGCGTTAAATTGTACGAGAAAAGAGGTGTGAGTTGCAACAAGAATACACCAGCTTGAGGGCATGAGGATATCGAGTTACATTTATAGGAAAGTGCAGAGAACTTGGCTGGTAGCTCCCAGGCTATATGTTCTTTTACGTCTATCTCCTCAATGGAAATGATGAGTCAACTGGCAGCACGTCGGCGGCGTATATCTCCGTAGATTTGGGATCCGGCCGCCAGTTGCAAGCTTCCTTTTCCTGTAAGTGGATTGCCTACGGAACAAAAGTTCCAATATGCTGTTAGGTTCAGTAGTTCTGAATTTGCAGTACCTCCTCTCCGGTCAATGTATTGGGTTAGTCTGCTTGTTGGATCCGGGGTCTGATGTCGGAAATGCCTTGGAACTCCATGTTGCTTGACCGCACGTCTGAGCAAGCAACTAGCTCAGTGTAAATGGCCTGCAAGATATTGTTTGTTCTAAGGATGAGTAAAGAACTTACCGGCATATTCCTGATGCTTAGTATCCAAATATCAAAACGCATCGTGTTAGGAATAAAGAACAACTTCGCGGGCTGCTTTGTACATATTCCGCGGTACGCACTAGTGCTGTCCGTTGGATCGGATTTGCCTATTTAGTAAGTCATAGAACAGCTAAATTGCTTGGTGTTAATGCTGCTTTGTGTCTACATGTTAAAAAGTCGGTGTGTAGAGCAACGCGGGGGTGGTTCGGGTCGGATACAGATGTGAACTGGTAGATACATTAATGTCTTAGGCCTTAAAGAAGAAGGTGGTATTTAGTATTACCACGATAACTACAAGGTAATAGACCAACAAATCACGCACTAAAATGTGACCATTTCGGTTGCCCCCGAGCACAGGACTACCTGTGTGGAGTAGCTTGTGCAAATTTATCTTAAAGTAGAGAAAATTTCTGGAAGACATTCAAATTTACCTTACCTCAGTCCCGAGTACTCATGATTAGAAGTCTGTCCGTTGATGTCTTCTTGGTTATTCTTGGATCCTATAGCTGGAACCAACGTTCAAGTCCAACCCAGCCTGTCGTCGCTTTGCCGCACTATCCGGCTTCTCATTTCTCTCTCCATTATCGCGTTATTTACTCCCCACAGCTTTGACTCGCTGTATAGGTCTGACCAGTTTATAATATAAGAGCCTTGCTCTGCCCCTATCGACATCGCCATCCCCTTTTCGCACTAGTAAATGTCCATTTAGAAGGAGACTCGACAACCTAGCAGGAAACCATGTTCAGTTCCATATTGACCGCTAATTCCAACTCGCAACAAAAATATAAAGCTCTCAGCTCGACCCATGACAACTTTGACAGAAACACGCATTACAAGAGGAGCCCCTTGTTCCTCAGAACAACATTCCCCATCGCAATTATACTCTGCAGTATCGCACATCTTATCCTGATATGCCACGCTATAACCCTCCTCAAAGCATTCTCGTCGCAGCTGCCAAACACCGCACAAGACCCCACACACCAAGTGTCAAACTGCTCTTGTGGCGCGACTATACATGAAGCCAGGGCCCTTGATTGTACCTTCGACGTGCTATCTGTCTCTTGGCTACCACCTTCGTGTCGTGACGACGAGCTCACCGTGGAGTTTGCCGCGGGGGGACCTGGCCCCCATGGCGCATGGGACTATTGGGCGCATGAAAACGGCACGTGGTCGCTCACACTGGATGAGGTAGCTGCGTTGGTAGAGAAACCCAAAAGCATCGTGTATACTTCGTGGGAATTTCATGTGCTGCATTGCTCGTTCTACTGGCGTAAACAGTGGAGGGTGTCTAGGGGCGTGGGAGCATTGTTTATGGAGGCCCGGTACGCCCTGGAGAGCTATGTGAAACATTTTCAGAATGTTTTTATGAAGGACAGTTTGAGGAAGACGGATATATCTCAATCGGTGGTAAGGCTAGGGGGTGAGTTTTTTTGAACGGAGCTGCTTATCTAGGAGCTTTAAGACGATGTGATATAACGGTCCCTGGTCGATGGGATTAGTTCATAAGCCCTGCATTAGATACTTGGACTAATATCGTGATATTAACCATGTCTAACCAACCTTGATGCAAGGTAGGACTTGGAATTTTTCTGCATAATTCCTAGTAGAGGACTGAGCAGAGGGACTCGGGTCAGGACAGCAGGCGGCTCTCTTTTGTCATGAGTTGCATGTGTGCTGTAACGGTTGCATTCGGTATGCAGGACTGTGCAATAGGTAACATTGAACCTCAAGTTTGAATGGTCCCCGCCACCAGAATTGAATATTCATAAAGAGGGGAAGAAGCTGACTGCAGTTGTCAAGTGCATGTTGCACAAGGAACTTTTGAGTCTGAGTCTGATGACATCTGGGACATTTCTGCAGCAGGGTGGCGATCAATTCAATACACTCGCGCCTTCGGTTAACCAAAAAATACCATATAAACCGGGGAAACCTGTAGGTGCCATGACACATGCTATACTATCCATGTACTTTTCTTCTCTTCTTTCCTCGGCTCGGGAGGCACATCCGTATATTTAGTTTTCTACGGTGGGCCGTTCTGTTTTTCATCCTGGGCAGTGCCGCGACCCAGATTGGCATGATCAAATTCGGATGATTTTACCGTTCTATAAACTGGATCATAGACAGCGGAAACTACACCAATGCGGCTCCTCCAAGAGACATAATAATTGCTAGTATTTTCTCTGCTCAAGATGCGGTATCGGATGGTTTGAGTAGGTTCCCCATGTCTTCCAAGAGAAAGATAAATAGTGTAAAGTACTAATTGCGCCACTTCCAGTCATTTATTTTCCGGTTGCCATTCTGTGGAAAATTTACATCAATTTACGTACAAAGCTGATCATGACACTCGTCTTCTGTCTGGTATTCCTTACGGTGACCATCACGATTGTCCGCGACAGTGTCTTCCATCCGATGTACTCCGAGGCGGCCAAAGGCCATCAGGCAGCGCAGAATCCACGCCCATAGCATTAGACAAAGAGTAGATGTTCTAGACTCGAGTCTAGACCAATTGACATAGCTTTTCCAAGAACAGATTTCATGATCCAGGCCACCCCGGGCCTCTGGGACTCTGGTAGTTCAACCGGGGTTTGAAGAGCCCTCATCACACACTTCTTTGCTTCAGTTGCAGCGGACCCAAGCACGCCCGGGAGCTGGAAGAAAACATGCCACCCATAATCATTAAATGTTATGACGTCTTTGGTAATATTTGGCTCAGTATCGTGGAAATGGCAACCAAAGAGTGATCGAATAGATGCATCCACCATTGAATAGCGGCAATGAGAATAGAGTGAGACTTGGTTGTTTTTCCCGAATAGAGATTTTGTACAATAATCTAATATACTTGGTTGCAAAGAATCGAGCATGGAATTGAGAAAAAACCCGAAGACTTGATCCATTTTCTTGCCGGGAAGAAGCTGTTGTTTCAGGAGAGACTCTAAGTAGTAGACGAAACTCAGCCGATCCCTGCCCCAGACATCAGTTGTGACGGCCTTGTCCCCCGCGTCGTTATGAGGGTTTGAGGTCTTCCATGATCTTCGTAACCCATCGTCACTGAACCCAAAGCGGCTGAGAACTGCATGAAGATGACCATCAAACCCCAGGTTAGGGTTGCGGTAGGTAGCAGTCACATCTGCGGGGGCAGTAATTACATAGATAGTCTTTCCCCACATGTGAAGAGCAAATAGTTTATAGGTTCTATTCTAATCCTTGTTCTATAAGTCTGTCGGACGCCCCGAAGAATTTTCAAGCATGCCCTTGGTTTTGTGAGCAAGTGTCGATTACGGCTCCCACGAGAACACACCTAAAATTGGAGCCTAGTAGGGGATAAGTTTGAGTTCTGCAAGATATAGCTAAGAACGCAGTATGAAGTTCCAGATCCACCAGGTTAACTAGGCAAGGAGGATAAAAAATGGCCACAACTAGCAGGACACATCAGTCATTGCGTCGTGATCTACGAGTAGCCTGCTGTTTTAATAATAAACTGCAAGAACGAAAATGCAAAGCAATAGAAAGGTTATGTACTTTTTTTTCTCACAGTGAAGCGGCACCAGAATGAGTCTTATACTTGCCGACTATCGAGACGTTTTTGTCTTTGTTGTTCATGCACCTTGTATCTTTTCAACACGCCTCCCCAAAAGATTGAAATTCAAGATAATCGAGTAAGGTGTCAAAGGTCCTTCGTTTTCCGAGGGGAAGAGAGTGAACGGTAACCACTATATATACATAAAGGGAACGGCTATACCTAAGGCTCTTGCCCGGGCACGTGTTTAATTTGTGTAATTAACACGTCCTTTATCGGTGAAGCCCCTTCTTCCAGCTACACGGTCTATTGGGCCTTTTCCGTGTAACACGCCGTTCAAGCGGCTTGACCCGTTACATGGCCATCTAGATGTTTACTGTCGAACCAATGGGGAGGAAAGCGAGCCGTCTCTCCAGATGCCATAACTTCTCAATCAGACCGAAGGGCCTACAATCTTATGGTCTATGAGCGAATCCTGTCGGGGCGGGCACGCCTTGCCAATCATCTAAGATAAGGCTTCAAAGTAGGCTCACCCTGAAAACCTTGGCGCACATTCACGTACAGCAGATTTCAGTGCCAATGCAATGCACATGCAACAATTTACAGTTGCGGCGCTTCGTGGCGCCCAAAAGGCCCCATCCAATGCAAGGGGTTGGCTGATTGTTGACAACTCACAGCTCCCCGTCTGCAATGCATAAAGCCTTGCAACTCAACTTCCGCCAAGTGCATCACAAGTCTCTGTTTCTTTGGTAGAAATGGCGCCTTTTAAACTTGAGACTTGTGCCAGGTCTAATATTTTGAGTCTGGCGCCATATCAAGACGCACGGCAGTGAGTTTGCCAATCCTGCCCCTCAACCATGATGCTACCATGACGCACAAAAAGGCTCGCAGGACAAACAAAATTGAGAGCTCCAAGATATTCCTCGATGCCAATGACAATACATTTGGGCCAGCAATCCCTCGTCATGTCCTGGGGGCAATGGCGTGCTCAGGAGGCCCAGGTCAACGATGTCGGTGTCGTCAAGGTGCCTCTTCTACCGGCACCGAGCTTTAAGCTTGACACTGAGACTATATACAATGCCCTTTCCGAGCAGTCCAATATAAAGATGGTCTGTATCTGTTCACCTGGCAACCCTACTGGGTCTACTGTTCGGAAGGAGGATGTGAACAAGATTCTGGCTCACCCTACATGGAACGGAGTCGTCATTCTTGACGAGACGTACATTGACTACTCGTCCAAGACTACCTCTTTGGCTGAATGGGTCACCGAGTGGCAAAACTTGGTAATCGTCCAAACCCTGTCCAAGTCTTTTGGTATGGCGGGCATTCGTCAGGTATGGCGGGCCAGCATTCGCGGCGACGCCAGTCGCCCGCCTGCTCCGCAACCTCAGCATAACCTACAACATCCCGAGCCCAACCGTAATCTTTGCTAAATACGCCTTAACTTCAGCACTGGTAATCATGGCCGACAATGTTGCCAAGACGGCGGCACAGCGCAACCGCTTGATTCGCGACATGACCCAAATCAAGGGCGTCGGTCGCTTGCGCGGCGGTACGGAGGCCAACTTCTTGCTATTTGAAATACTTGATCAATATGGCCAGCCGAGTAATGCTGCTGCGTGCGCCGTATACAAATGCCTGTTGAATAAGAGAGGTATCGTTACGAGATTTCGCGGCGAGGATCATGGATGCCATGGGTGTCTGCGCATTACCATTGGCACGGAAGACGAGATGGCAAGCTTTCTTCAAGCGTTGAACCTGACGCTGAAAGAAGTGCATAAAACAGGTTCTAGCAGCGGAGCACGAGGCGGAGGTGTCGTCAATGGAAATGGCTTAAACTGGCCCCAAGAGCAGAAGCCCGGCCAACACCAAACCTCTTAACCTTGGAATAGGTCGATATGTGGGTTACTTTTCTCCCTCTCCACCGGAGGGCATATTCTTTTTTTTAATTACTCTAGATGGGTACTGCATATACCTGTTACTCTAACTATGAGCTCGAATGTTGAAATATATTAGTTGTAGCGAATAAAAGGCATCTTGTTTTCTCTTCTTTTTACAATTTACTCAAAACCTTGTTGACTATCAATTCTGAATAATTGTATTGTGGTCTGTAAGTTGTATCCTCCTGGTTAAGACATCGTGTTATTGCAAAAGCGTAGCATGTAGTTCTGAACCACTTATCCTGCGTCCATCTTTCTTCTCGTAAAGGCATCTCCCGTCCCGCCGCAGCCCGTTCGATGTCCAGCTCGGCTTTCCAATTGTAGTACTCACTCAATTGCATATCGGCATATCAGGCATGGTCGAAATCAATATTTGAGCCGCTTGCCTTAATAAAAGCCCATGTGGCTTAGAAGAAACCAGGAACGCCGCGATATAGGTCAACATCAACCATCAGCCTGGATAATGAATCCTCTTGGTCAATTTGGCTGTCCTTTGCCAGCACGGCAAAGGCACGAAGATATTCTTTAATAAATTCTCGGCGATCCGACCGCGTAGGCAACGCGCTAAAGTCGCATTCGAAGCCTGCCCATTCGGAGAAATGGTTGGCGATATCGAACGCAGCGGGAGCCGGCATGGTATATTCATAGTCGATCAATGACACTGTCTCCTTGTCGGAATGAGATGCTTTTGGAAGCAGTATGATGTTGCCACTTAGCAAATCGCAATGGAAAAAAATCATCTAGCAAAACCTCAGCTGGTGTCTAGAGCAAGCGGCCATGGCAAAACTCGTTACGTTGTATGGCCCATGTTCTGACCGTTGGTCGAGCTGTTGAACAAGCCTGTCAAATTCTGCCTGGAGTTGTGCTTGTCTGACACGTTGTAACTCAGGGCCAACCGGTAGAGCAGTAATACACTTTTGCAGAACTACCCACAGACTCGTCAAGGGCTTGGTCTGCTTCGATTCTGTTGCAGAAGCGTCTGCATCATGAGCTAATACTCGTGGTGACGCGAAACAGGGTACTCGGGCGTGCCATTCTGCAAGCAGTCGTGCCACAGCTAAATACACAGCCGGCTTTCGAAGATCTTCGGGGCGCGCTGGCCTACCTCTTATGAAACTGTATAGCATGCCATTGTCGAAACGAGCGAGCAGCAAGATCGAAGCGAATAAGCAGCTCATGATCCTCTGTTTCTCGCTCTCGGTCTATCAGGATATCTGTGCTCACGCTATAAGCCTTTAATAAGATTGGGCTTTCATGAATGCCCTCGCCAGCTAAATCATTTCGCTTGTGAACCAGTTTGATGAGCGTGTTGTTGATGCCACTTGTGACAGGCACGATATGTATGTGATTGTCGTTCCATTCATGCCCGATTGCTCGGAGTAGACGAAGGGCTGATTTTTCGGGGTCCTTGTGACTGTATTGTAGCGCGAGACGTGGTACATCGCTTTTGGGATTTCCGTCTTCGTTTCGATCCTGTCCACCGGGCATTTCTCATTAACTCTACTGGCAAATACAGAGATAGTGTCTGGTATAACATGTCTGGTATGATAGGTCGCCAGCGGAGTCTCGCCAGCGTTATGAAGCATCGATATGCTTAATTGGGCAGTAGCACCTGCTGCAAAACATCAATCATGAAGACACTCAGTTATTTACCACGCTACTTGATGAGTCACCAGGATTCGAGTCGGATTATGCTGACTCCCGGCTTTCAAAGCAGGCTCTGGGCAGGGCAAAGGGTGTTGGGAAGCAGTGAAGGGCATAGAAAACGGTCAAGACAAGAGAACAGAAAGTCAAGGTTGGAAGGTGCCACCCATTTGTAACAAGACCTGCATTACCACCAAAATTGCGACCTCATGAAGCCATTGCTCGCGCTACTATTACGTGGCAAGTGATTTTAATCCAACTGGATTGCGTCCTATCCGTTGTGTAATATAACTTTTACAACACGATTTGTGATATATTACGTAGGTCGGCATTTATTTTACGGGCAGATCCCGGTGCGTCTTAGAACAGGAAAGATCTGCCATTATGGGGCTTGCTGGACTCCAGGGAATTATCTGGGCTGGTACTCCGTACTCCGAGGAAACAAAGAAAGAATTGAAGCCAACATGCAGTACTCGTGCCACGCCCCTACTTTTTGGGGTCGCGACTTGGTGCCAAATTGCATCGTGCGAGTGATAAATAACATTATGCCCGGTCGCCAATCGCAGGGCTTGGTACAACAAAGATTAAATGGCCTCAAAATGATTGATAAGGTCGTCTTTATTAGGTAATCAAACACGTAATAGTTGATTTTCAATTATCTTATAGAGCGTGACTTGGGGGCAGGGCGTAATAACTCTTGACCAGCTCGCAGAATACCTTATCCAAGACTTTAGTTCTTGTTCAATACCCTTATAGAGTCATAGCTGCTGATACAGCCAGGCACTTACCATAGCTATAGGAGACATCGAGAAAGCGCTCACTAAGCTGAATAGCGCCCCGCGCACTGCCCTTAAGACTTCAGTAGCAATTATAAGTATAAGCAAGTAGACGGTAGTCTGTAGATGCCCGTGACACCAGACGTCACATGTGTGCTGACCTGGCACTAGTTGACATTACTGCCCACGAATCGCCCTTCTTTGCACTCGTGTGTGCAAGAAGACAACCAGAAGTTGCTTTAGGAAGGATATGGAGCGCAAAAAGAGAAGACGAGTAATTAGATCTATAAACCCACGCGTTATAATTGCCTCGACACGATAGCAGGCACTCTAACTATGTAAGAAAGACCTAATGGTAGCATAAAATCGCGCCTATAGCTCTACAATTAAGCAGAGTCGTGCTTAATCAACTCAGCAGTAAGCTCAGCCATGGCATATAGGGTGCTAGTCAAGTGACCGCATACTTGATAAGGAAGAATGGAGGCATCAACCACACGGACGTTAGAGGTGCCGTACACCTTTAGCTTGTTATCAACAACACCTCCCTTCTCACGGGGCATCATGGCAGCAGTTCCCACAGGATGGAAATTCGAGCGGTCTGCCAATGCAAACTTTAGCTATAGCCATGACAGATTTCGCTTGGTCAGGAAACTTACAGTGCCCGTCTAACAGCCATTCTTTCCATGCAGCATCAGAGGCATCATCACCGATAACGGCAGGATCAGGAATAGTCACACCCTCGACGAGCTTCCCAAGCGGTCCAGCACTAAACGAGGTGCGGATGTACTTGGCCACCGCAATCATGCTGTCTAAATCCCAGTCCAACATAAAGAAGTTGGGGTTAATAATGGGCATCGCGGTAGGGTCAGATGAGGAGATGTGCACGTTGCCGCGAGCAAAAGGCAAAAGAGTCCAATATTCGGAGGAGATGGCGTTATCTCCTCTGGCGCTATAGAGGATCTCAGCGATAGGGGTACGCTGCTTGAAGATAAGGTCGTACTGGACCTGAAACAGCGCCTCCAGATCTGAAGCCTTCATGATGCCGTTGCTGACCTCGGCGGTGGCTCTGGCATAATCCTTTATTTTCTTTTGCATTGAGAGCGCTAGGGAGTCGGTCTGGTTGCCGTAGATGTCGTAGACGTTGGGGTAAACGACGTGTGTGGCGCTGGTCATGTTGGCCTTAATAGCAGCGCCAGACTGGGCGTTGGTTTGATCCTGAAGGTTCTCGCCCACGGTGGGAAGATTAACCTGGACCGGAATTTTGTGCTTCTCAAGGAGGGTAGCATCACCAATACCGGACAACTCGAGGATCCCTGGCGACTTGAGGGCTCCAGCCGAGACAATAACCTCTCGGTTGGCAGACACAACCGATGTGGTTCCGTTTGCCAAAGTAACCTCGACTCCGGACGCGGTAACGTGGTCACTATTGTTAGCCTTATCCTGCCAGATAATGCGGTTTACAAAGGTGTCCACCAGAAGGTGTAGATTTTGGCGAGAGGCAACGGGCCAGTAGTAGGCGCGGGCGGCATCTTCACGCACGTTGGTCGCCACGTTGATGGTGGAGGGAAAGATGTTGAAACCGCGCATCTTTCCGCCATTGACGTCCTCAACCCAGGGGATGCCTAGACCATTCATGGTGGTATTGAGAACCCCGGTGAGGTCATTGTCGGGGATATCGAAGAAACCCACATCCAGAGGACCGGACTTGCCGTGAAGGGAAGCATTGTAGGATGCGCCCTTGGAGACCTGGCTCTGGCTGGGGATGGTTAATTTCTCACTTTGCAAATAGTAAGGAAGCAGCTTCTTCCATGTCCAGCCCTCGTTGCCGATAGTCTGCCACGCATCAATCTGGACATCTTCGGCACGAGTGTAGGCCATTCCTTGATGATAAGATTAGATCGACTTGTATGCAACCTCGAAGAAACTGCTAATTGGGAAGGGGGGAGTACCGTTGATAGCACTAGTTCCAGCCACCGCTTTACCCGCACGAAAAACCAACTCTTTATTGCCCCCATAGGTCTGGTTGACACTTTTATATTGCCAGTCGATATCCGTGCCGAACGCCAGTCCATATCCACCAACGTCAGTGACATTGGCGTTGTTGAGCACCGATTTACCTGCCTCAATGACGAGGACGGAGACGTTGCGATCTTCTGACAAGCGGTTAGCAATAACCAGACCGCTAGTTCCACCACCAATGACAATATAGTCGTATTTGGAAGCGGTTTTGATCTGGCGGGTGGGACAGGCCAAAGTGGCAGTTAGAGTACTGAGAAGAACAAGCGGACGAAACATGGTAAAAGATAGTAAGAATTATATTTGTTGGGAAACAAACACTATTGCTTCTCCCGTGCGGTTTTATATCCCCAAGATTATCAAACTCATCTTAAACTATGAATTACTGAATTTGTCAGAACCAGTCAGCAACAGACTCCTTCTATGTAGAGTCCTCCTGCCAGTGGAGACTGTCATGCAATCAACATAAAAGTCGGACGCAATTGCATGAAACACAATCTATGAGCCGGCAATTTTCCAATCGTCCCAGCTACATCGGTCCGATTTTCTTGGCGATCGACGCGTCACCCAGCCTCAGCAAGTCTCTCCGATAAATTGCAGGATCAGGGGAAGCAGGGGCTAGGCCTGTATCAGGGATATTCGCCTCCACCTGACTAAACTTTTGTCAGATGACCCGCAGCCTTCCATCGAATAAATTCTGACTTCTAGCTTGTAGCATAATGTAGATTAACTGGGATAGGAAAGTGTCAACGGGCATCGATAGGTGCCGAGATCCACAATCTCTTATCTGCGGAAATATCCAAAAATCGCTCAACATCACGAGCCTTGTACTGTGAAACCCCGAAAAGCTACAACCCAACAGGGCCTTTAAAGATAATTGCAAACTCTCGTATAAAAAGTCTCACCGATAGATACAGGGCCTGAAATTATAGTCCAGACATGCCTTGGAACTCGGTTCAATATCCGCTTTAAATTAGTCCCAGCTCGTCCACTTTACTCGGGTTTGGCCCATCTTGCAACGATCTGGCCCAAGGATTTGAAACTAAAGAAACCATCATATGTTATTGCTTGCCTAGATTAAAGCCGGGACAGTATGCTTGAAAACCCCATTCGGATCAACTTCTGCTTTAATCCTTTTCAGTCCAGCCAAATTATCACCGTATGTTTTGTCCAGGTCTAGGAACTCCGGGGCCGTGAGCGGGAGATATGTCCCTCTCATGGAGTTCTTGCTGGCGAAGAAACAATTTCGAGCCTCAAGAGCCCATCTCGCTGCTTTTTTAGACGATTCATCATCGCTTCCATAGTCCAAGATCTCAAGCATAATATGTGGCTTCCGGTAGGGAAGGACAGAGGCGGGAACATCATCCGAGCAGGAGGGGCTATCAGCGCGAAGAATATGCATGTTTATACCACCGGTACATCCGGCTGGAACAGTGGCAGCTGATTCAGCCAGAACCCTTAAGAAAAACCCGGCCAATACACTGCCAATTTTGGTGGTTTCTAACGCGGAAACAGGCGGGCAATTTGCCAAGGATCCAACGCCACTTTAAGCCATGCAACTTGGCCCATTGGCTGACCGTGTTGGTCCATGTTCAGCAAGGTACCATATGGTACTCACTCCTTATTGGACAGGATTAGGACACTGGCAGCTGAGTGTGTTGGTCAATTTATTAGAACTTTGAACCAAGTTCCATAGCGTGTCTATACAACATTGTGCAGGGGCATTATTCCAGCTAAGTGTGCGATTCCTGGTTATCCTTCCTAGTCATTGTTGGTGCTTGGCCGAAGGACTTCGACATGCCTTTGTGGCTTTCTACAAGCCTTGTAATTAGTAGAAAATAGTGTAAGCAAAGCTCAGAGAGGACCAATAGAGTAAACAGTTCTGCAATATCTTTTCCATCACGATGACTTTTCAATCGCCGTCGGCGAGCGGCCAAGTTCAAGTAACGAGCTGGACCTGCGTCTGTGCTAATAGGATATATGTGCAGCAGGCTATCTATAGTAGGTTTAGCAAAAGGGTTGTTGAGGAGATGCAGAAGTTTCGCGTTGGAAATAGCTGTGATGGCACTATTACCCATGCCCCCTGAGCATTACTATCAACATGAATGAAGAACCTTCTAAAGAATAGAGGAATAATAATGATACTTTTGCCAAAAATCTTAATTGATAGCGAGTCTTATAACGTGAAAAACAGCGCTGGATGGGCAGAAGTTTCTATGGCCAACTCCCATGCTGTCCTTCAGCCATCTCAATTGTCCCGCTAGTCTAAGGATAGATCAGGGTGGCGATCAACTCA